TCTTACATTTGCATGCAGCCGGGTTATATTCGATACTTACAGCGTTGTGATTTCTCATGCTTGCGAATTTTCTATAAAAGTGTTAATTTTGCGGAGTATGTCGTATTTTTTTCCGTTCTGTTAGTAAAATCACAAATTTGAATCTCTGTCTAAGTTCTCGAATTTCATCCTTGGTTTCCTTTTAGTATTTCCGTACTTCAAGTGATGGAAAATCCTCTGCATTTATCCTATTTGCCCCGAGTATCTTACCCTTTATTTTGAATGTAATCAGACCGACCCTGGTCTGGCGATTATGTGTAAGATAATTTTTATTTGAAATAGATGGCAATTAGCTATTTCGATAATCAGTACATAAAATATACTCAGTTCATTAGCGTAATCAGACCAATACAAACATGCATATAACAACGATGAAATAAGCGCATGCTTTTCTTTGATACTTGTTTTAAGCTAAAGATTTAGGTTTAAGTTGTTAATTATTTAGGATGTGAAATTTGTTTAGAATACCTTTGCATGCTGCGATTTCAAGGAAAAAATTATTGATTTCATGTACTTTATGATAGATTTGATAACCCTCAACTTGTCATTGATACATAAAATGTAATCGTACCGTAGCATAAACGAAATGTCAACAAATGGTGTGGATAAATCATGTGGGTTATAGAATAGTAGGCTTTAAATGTACAAAGATCAATCTGGTGCCATAAACGTAGAGTCCATTTTAGGTCTTTTTCTAGGAGCTTTCGTGTAGTCCTGAAGGAATGTGTGTCAAAATTTGTAAAAATCTTTCTATGTATATAGTTGATTGATCAACAATTCTCTTATCTTTTGGACTAAAGTTATTTGAATATCTCTAGATGTATATTTTCTTTAATTCTGGATTAAAACAAAACTTTTATCAACCTGAATTGGAATTTGAGTTTTATTAATACGTCACCCCGTTTGTTTAATTTTTATAACCTAGGTAAATGTCGGTTTACTTGACAATGAACATCAGTGGATACCATTATAATTACCGTTGTCTTAATTTCTGTTTCTAAAAATAGCATCTCTGGTAAATACTAAAAACCTGCAATGATGTTTTTTGATTGACAGTAACACTATCAATTTATCTCCCTAATGTATTTGAAAGTGATTGTTTAATGATGTTCGTATACACAAGTACTTAATTTTTATACGTCATTTTTGTAACTCATATAATATAATCTTCATGATGAGAATCAGGCCTAGCATAACAACTGTGTTTCAAATTCCCTAGTTTTAAAAGACGTGTATCCAACGTTTTACCGGACGTTAATATGATCAAAGATTCATAAATTTGAAGTAAATTTGAACCCTGTGTGACTCTTGTAGCGGTAAATAAATCTCGAACTTCAGTAGCTCTGTAAGTCTTCGACATTTGACTCTGACCGCATTAGTCCTAATGTACTGACCTAGCTGATGCTGCTCGGCCCTGCGCCCGCACCACATTACAAGTGGATGAGCTGCGCTCAACTTATCATACAATCGCTAGCCAACTTAGATCGACCACTTCTCAATATATTGATAGTCTGTGAAATATATCTTCAAACCCCTTCACCTCTGATACCCGATTTCAATGGGTTGGCACGTTTTGATTATTGAAGGTTTGACTGGATAAGGTGTTGTCAAACTCCAAATACTTGTGATATCTTTATGCTATTTTTGCTTTTTTGTTTTATCATTTAGTAATTCAGTCACAGTTTTTGATATTTTATTCTTCAATGTCATTACAGTATAAATGGTTCAAAGTGGGGTGATTTGTATTCGTGTATTATCCTGGGAACGTCTGTGTATCCCCTAAAATACTTATTTAATGTCAGGTCAAGCACAAACATTAGTTGTTTTGGCCGAAAACATCTGTGTAATTTCAATATATTATCGTTTGTGCATTCATTGACTTCCCTATTTTTGTTGGCATTATATTTCTTATTATTTAATAGTGAATCTTGAAAACTTTTCGTGTTTGAAAGTCGAACCTCACGCTTAACATGTTCAGTTTCACAATCTAAATGAAAACCTATTCAACAATGAGTCGGGTCTTTTCGACAGATAAAACAGGAGGCGTCTACTAGAACAAAAAGTACTTACCAACAGACGGTAAATGTAAATATTTCGTTGGGGCTCCCCTTGAAGCCGGGTAATCTAGTAACTTCTAACCTCAAGTAACTCAACTAATATTACCCTGAACGGTAACCAAGAAGAAATCGTACAGCCATCCTTAAATAAAGCGGTATATTTGGCGTTTGTTAAAACAGGAGAAGAAATGTTTTAAAGTCGCCATGAGTTTTGGCATAGCGTATACAATGGAACTCTACAGATCGGTCCGAAACCAGCGTATAAGCGAAATCCGGGCAGTCTAACGAAAATATGAAAAGCCGTTGGTACAACCTATAATCAAGCCGCTTAAGAAACTCTTCTCGTATATATATTATAAGACAAGGATGCACTACGAAGTTCTTAAACTGTTTACGGAAGGGCATGCATCTCAAATGATAGAGGATCATCAGCAAAAAGCAGAGGCGAAGAACTAGAACCAAATACAAAGTCAACAAACTGTCTGATCACCATGTACTTTTATCGAGAAGATGTATTTAAGACCCTTAACACCTAAACCACGCAAAGTAAATAGGACCGGATGAAGTACATTCCAAAAGCTCGAAACAAAGTGTACAATATGTTGCAGCCGCATTGACTACGATATTCAATATGTCACTTGGTCAAGGTGAATACCTACAGACTATGAGGATGCAATTGTCACTCCAATACATAAAACAAGACCAAGACAACTTCCATTGAACTACAGACCTGTCAGCCTCACCAGTGTCATTGCTAAAACATTGGAAAGAATAGTCAACAAGATCATATTAATATTCGTGGAAACCAAAACGTGTTAAACAGTGAACAACATCGTTTCAGAAAGTGTTTATCTTGCACAACAAACCTCCTCAGAGCAAGGAAGAAATGGATAGAGGCTATATGCAATAGAAAATTAGTGGAAATTGTCTACATATACTCCAGTTAGTCATTTGATTAGGTGCCAAGAAATAGACTACTATTGAAGTTAGAAAATCTTCGTATTGCCGGACCTCTTTTAAAATGGCTTAAGGATTTCCTAGTGGGTCGTAGAGAGTAAGAATAAATTCTGAGTGTTACACTTGGAAACCAGTAATTAGTGGAGTACCGCGAGGCCGTCTTATGTCCTTTATCTTTTATGCTGTATGTAAATTAACTACCATACATAGTTGGGTCCCCCAATGCTACTATACGCTGATGATGTAAAAATCTGGCGACAAATAACAGCAAGCGCATTTCAGGCAGACTTATATATTTTGAGTCGCTTGTCTAAAAGTGGCTGGTGTGGAGATAACTTCAATCCAAATTTCGTATAATTACGACTCCTTATGATCTAGTGGACTGTCATGAACTAATGGTATTGATGCTGATTTATTATGCATAATACCTCATTACAAGCAAACTAGACCATTCGCTAAAAACGGAGCCTACTGAAGACCATATAAAATCCAAAAAAGAGAGAAGGCCATTTGTGTATCATAATACTGGTTTTAGCACTATATTTTATAACTGCACATAATCCCATACTCTCAGCTTCTTTCTGAACCACCTCCATTTTTCAGTTGTTTATCCACTCATACCTTGTTTACACTCATTTTTTTAACCTATTTGAATGCTCTTGCTTAATAAATACTTTGAAAAAAGAGAGAATTAGACTGAGTAGTCATATCTTAACTATTCCTTCATGAACATTGTTTGCTCTGCTTCTCGCTTTTTCTTGCGACTTTTTTCAGCCCCCTTGAGATACGCTACTAAAAACAGATATGGAACGGTGGATTTCGTCCTTCACCATCATTAAAGCCTCAGATATTCCAAAGGGATATAAGCTTGCGATTTCTAGAAGCTCCCACCCTCAATGGACTTATTCTCGACCATCAGTTGCACGTCGGAACGCAACTTTCATGAAGCGCGCCAACTGTTATACTGACTGAAACCATCTACATTCATATCTTATAAATTATCAACCCAGCTGAGTAATTTGCTACAGTGAAAATCTTATCATTTATAAAAATTTGATGTTGCCTGTAACTTGGCATGCTTCATGTAACAAACTGTTATTTGAGAATAAATGATAATAGTAATTAATGCGGCCAAGTGTGTCTACATGTGCTTTGGGGATGCACAGGCAAATACGTACAGCATAGAAGTGTCTGTTCCCGTGATCTAGTCTCACTAGGGCCATTGTGTCATAGTCAGTCATGATCTTAAGACCATGACCCATTGCCAGGATGTTGCAGCTAAAGCGTTTAGAACACGATGGGTTTTGAGACGAACATTCACTAAGTTGGATACCACCATGTTCACCACAGTATGCAGAACCCTCATAAGATCCGAACTTCAAACCTGCGTCCGGGATGCCAGCCCCGGGTAAAAAGGTGACTCGGATATCCTAAAACATCCAGAGTACAGCTAATCGTACAGTTCCAGAACTCCGAGGAGCAGTCATAGACAAAGCAATTTGAAAAGATAGACCTCATTTCTTTACCTTTCAATATGTGATCTGATTTTGATTTGTAGAATATTTACAAACAGTTTCAGTCTGGAAAGGATAGGAGACTTGGTGGATTGTGTTAGTCATGGCAATGACTGTCTGTCAGTTGATCCAATCATTTTTTGAAAGAGTCAAAAGACTAAGCTTCAATCACGTGATGAAGTAATGAATTCCAATCGTTGATGATTCGATGAGAAAGTCAATAGTCAATTGACAAATAAGTTGTTCTGGGTTTGTGAACGTTTTTGGAGTGTCCTCGTAAATTCTCTGTTTTGGAAAACAAGAAAAATGAGTAATGTCAGACCCAAATTTATCACTAAGTAATTTGAAAACTGTAATCCAACCTCCTCTAGTTCTTTGATATGACAACGGGAATAGGTTTAGCTTAACCAGTAGAGCGTGATGCGGAAGCATCGCTATTCTGAGAATCCAAACAAATTTGAACCTAACGTACCTTTTTTACGGGTCAAGACAACTCAGAGGACATGACAGACGAGTAGAAAAAACGAAATATCTATGGTATATGATTTTTCCAGCTCTTGGAACCTGGTACTTGAATAAACGGTGTCTGCGGTAAATATAAATATTTCCGCGTGACCTACGTGAAGGTCATACCTTGGGATAATGCCAATCGTGTCTATCTCTCAATCGGTTTTATTCTGCAAACTTCAAAAGGAATATTGTAATAGCCGCGTAAACAATAACTCACGTCTTTTTTCATAGCACAAGAAGAATTTGAAGAATTATGCTTCAGTTATGGTCTCGAACTGGACGAAGTTGTATGCTGGAATTCTAATGTTTACTTGGTTTCAGGTAACGGAAAAAGAACTAGTTACTAGAGAAAAGGGAAAGGAAAAGTCTAGAGGGTGTAGTACGGAGCCGGTTTATAAGGTTGAAATACCTGGTAATCGTTATGATTTACTTTGTCCTGAGGGTTTATCTCGAGCTCTTATGATATTTGAATCAAAGTAGGGCAACTTTTATTGGCTTTATTTACATTAGGATTAAGCCTCCGGTTTTTGTCACCAAGAAACCTCAAAATCTAATTCAGTTGCATGTTTTGCCGTCGGTAAGTCAATCGCAAGATGATCTCATCAAAACAGACCCAAAGTGTTAGACCTTTTGTCGTTGCTGGTGTATTAAGAAACATCGTGCTGGATGAGTCTAGGCTCAATAGTTTCATCGATTTACAAGAGAAGCTCCACCAAAATTTGTGCAGGTAATATCTCGTACTATACTTCTGCCGTTAGTTTTATAATACTTAAATTGAATTTAAAAACGACGAAGGATTGAAATCCCCTTATTATCCTACCTATACAGTTCCCTCCGTTGACTTGTCTTTTCCTTAAATGTATCGGCAGATTGAGTTGTGACCACTTGTTAGTCAGAGATTCAAAGATCGTGATAAAATCATCGTTTACAAGGTGATCAGGTTTAGTCTAGCTAGTCTCTCACCAAACGGCAGCTTTACGTTTCCAATAGCAAATCTTCGTCTTTTCTTATACAGGGCCTGGCTGCTTGTATGTAGTCAATAAATTTAAATCAAACGAGCATTGTATAAAAATTCAAAAAAGATCTTAGCATCCACATGGTTAGAAGTCTTATTTATTGACCAGAATGTCCTAAAACTTTTAGCAGCGATTGCGTGAAAGTGCAAAATCCGCCACATTTATACATCGATTCCAATTGATACATTGACTTAAGTTGTTTCATTCTGTTTTGTTTTTAAACTATATACAACATTTTCTAATTGATGTAGCAGCTTCCATCGACTCGTGGTTCGAATAGACTTTGTTTTTCTATGATCAGCAAGTTCAGTTAAAGTTTTTGTCTGTAACAACTTTGGATTCTGTGTCATTCGACAGAACCAACACAATCAACTAGAAATTGTCTCTCATGAAACTTTACTTCTTTATTACTTCTTTGCTTTTTGTCCTCAGTTATTTACTTTTTTCATTTTGTCAAGATACTTTATTCAGTTTTATCATCATCACCATTTAACTAATAAGCAAAGGACGACATTATTGCTGCGTTTAATAAGTAAAGTTACTATATATTACTGTATTTGTGTGGTGGTTTAATTTACCATTTTGAATACTGTTAATAAATTTGTAATTTATGGAATCTTCAAAAGTAATCATTTAATTACCTCGAAACTTTTAATGTCATATTTAGAAAGTCAAATAGAGGTAACAGTAACTTTGGTTGTAAGTAATACCTTTTCTTTATTGTTCGTTACAATCATAATCTGTGTCCTGACTTGAATTTATGAACATTTAATACACTTTTAGAAAACGATCTTTAGTGGCCATTGGAGCGCATGATTTGGACACTTTAAATCCACCTTTCTTCTACGATGCTAAATGTCCTAAAGATATTCGCTTTAAAGCGTTGAACAAAACTGAAGAGCATAGTGCTGAAGAACTAATGCAAATATTTTCTGTGAGTCTTTGCTGGGTATAAATCGCTTTTCTTTGTTAAACATCCATTACGTATAGTAATATATACATTTAAAGATGTTTTTGAGATATTGGTAGTTTAGCATTCCGGCTTCCAATCCTTGAATTATGCATGCAATACTTTTTTATTTATTGAGTTTCAGATTTCAGTAGAGCGAAAGTCCCGATCCTGATATTTTAGAAACCGAATGGAGCAAAGAAATGTTTTTCAATTTTTAGTCTTAGATTAATGTTTATGGACTTGTGCCATGTTTTGGTCTGGCCGCCCCTAGCTTTCTTACAACCTCCTACACCAGAAAACATCGCATGTCGAGGTAGTCGGTAGTTGGGCATACGTAACACGTGTCCTAGCCATCTCAAATGGTCAAGTTTGATTACTTCATCAATTGATTTGCCATCCTTACCTAGTACCCGTTTCCTAACTACTGCGTTACTTACTCGATGGTCCCAGGATATACGAGCAATGTTTCGAAGACATTTATGATCAAATACTAGTAACTTACGAATATCCTCTGCTCTTACCGACCATGTTTTACTGCCATAAAGTAGGACGGAACGAACTGCTGCGCAGTAAACACGTCCTACTACTACTAGCAAGTATCATATAGGAGTTATGTATCAAAAACATGAGCATATAACGGTCAATTGAAAAATATAATGAGATATGGAATAGATAGTTGATTAACATATTAAACACTTACGTCTGTTATCTCTCGTGGAGGAGCACAAGCCGACCACCAGCATTCTTCATCGAACTCTGTCCTGGTCAACCCTTCTCAGTTGCTTCCAGGTGCTATTCATGCTTTTGATGTCTACTTCCAATTCCCGACGCAATGTGTCCTTTAGTCTTCCTCTTTTCCGCCAATGTTGTGTTTATCTAGATCTTAATGTTGATCGATTTTTTTCGGTCAGGTTGCACATGATGTAGTGTCTCTTTGGTCTGGTCAGTAATCCCAATGTTCGATAATTCATTTTCGGATTTAGTGTCTCCATCTTAGAACACTGACTCTGATTAATTAGTCATGTTTTATGGATGTCATCTCAGTAGCTTCCTCATCTCTCACCATTTACCAGCTCTGGAATAGGGTGGAAGAAGCTTAGAAATGGCTAGTCCATAACATATTGCCGTGGTGCAGTTATTGGCACAAAACATTAGACATAGGTCAGAATAGGATACTATGGCGATCCCTTACTTTTTTACCACAACCTTCAATAAGGCGAATTGAACCCCTTCAACCTTAGAGAGTTCTATCTCAGGTTAAACGTTTTATTTATACAGCACATCAGTTAGTCTCATAAACACATAATCCAATTTTAGTGTTGTGAACTGCCTAGTTTTTTTAAATTTTTATTTTAGAGTGATTCACATTTAAAACAATATCTCTCATTAATTCAAGATAAACCTAAATATCCAATTATTTTCGACAGTTCCAATACTGTTCTATCAATGCCTCCAATAATAAACGGTGAGCTGTATTTATGCTTAAATAACATTTCTCAAAAAATGTATATCAGTGTTTTGGGTCTCGCGTTGGAATTCCTCCACGCGTATATTGGTTTACGCAGTTGAGTAGTATCATTGTAGTGAACAGAACACGGGTAGGGACAATCGAATGTATTCAGCACAAAATTACAGTTACTTGGTAAAATAGAAAAACCATACTATAATACTTAATTTGCAAAATGTTCAATAATTGTCTCGAACTTCGTTGCCCTTGCATTTCCGTACTAATTGCTTTCTATTCCCGCTCTTCCTTTCCTGATCTTCCCCATCTTCTGCTGCCAGACATTACATTCCTGACTCGCATCATATACTGCTTAGATTAACATAAGTAGTATGCATCACATCATTAGCCCTATTAACTATAGTGTAGTTTATAGCCAACTAGTTGATAAATGAGTCAGTTTAAAAATGATAACTGAAAGCATTCAGTCATAATTTATAAAAAGCGATAACAACGATATAAAATATATGTTCAGGGTTTAGAAAAAGTTAATACCTTTTTAATCACTACAAGTTATGTTGCCTAACGTTTTAGCAGGCAGTTTGTTACCTTACTGTTAATGATGGTATTATTTCTGACCAGTAGGAGATCCATTTTAGTCTTTTGTTCTTACTTACTCTGATTACTATTGTTCATATTTGTAGGCAATATCCCCTCTGTCTTTCGTATCTATCAGCCATATTAGTTGGTTGATAGTTCACGAAATCAGTTAATAGTCGTTTAAATATCTTAACGGTTACTTAGAGTTGTTGTATGACAACTGATTTTGTTGTTTTCATGACTGTCAATTTCTGTCTCGTGGATTATATTTTAAAACATTGTTCATCTTTTGAAAGCTTTAAAGAAACATTGACCATTTTATCACAATATGACACGAATTATTGTGTAACATATGTAATTATAATCACCGTAGTGATATGTTTAATGGGCAGAATATTTTGCTTAAATTTCTGTTATTTGTGCTTCATTTAAATAACTATGTCCCATTTTTTTGATTGTTTCAAATATGACCCATATTGTGCTTTTATTGACATTATTATTATTATTAACTATTCAGGTGAACATTCTCGTATTTCTACTAAAACAAGAAACGTTTTTATTGAAGCAACTGGAACTGATTTACACAAAGCTATTGTTGTTCTCGATACACTTATCACAATGTTCTCAGAGTATTGTGAGGAACCATTTACGTAAGCTCCCTATTTTTCTCTTTAAAAGCGCAATTATTTTGTTGTTGTTATTTTAATTGTCTAGTGTCTCTATTAATTGATGGGTTGTCAGATGATAGTGATGATTTATAGTTGTTATAATTTGTAAGTTTGTGTCCCTATCAATGTATAACGTAATGATACCGCCAATTAGAGAACAGTGATCTGTCAACCAGGCTAATGATGCATGAAACGCGTACGAGCAGTCTAGAGTCTTTATCGGTCCTTCTCTGCTTGACTTTTCCAGTTGAGTCCAGAACGCCAATAACAGCTTCCACTGTATGAGTCATATATTTCAAACAAGCTTGGCTTATATACATGTCAACGAGACCACATCATACCGTAAATAGAAAATACACATTTGTACAAGATTTAGCCTAAAAGTGTCTGTGAATGTGGGAGATCGTACTTGATAGGCTGGGTATAACTCGAGAATGGTAAATCGTATAATAATAGTTCATAGATCAAAATGAAGCTCATAATAAGTGGAACATGGATATGCAGATAGTTTAGACATTTGACAACTACACAATAAGAATATATGTACAGTATTAGTCCAGAAATAAATTCCAACAGTTACTGCTATTCATTATTCTCATCACGATATAACAGCAACTCAAGTGGGAAGAGTCTAGATGAATTTGTAATCCATTGTATTCTATTTAATGAACTGAATATGAATTAATAGTAGTCAGTATTATAAACATGGATATCAATACTTTACTTGAACTAGTTCTACATATTCATGAATATTTGTAATGTATCTTTTAACTCATTAATTATTATATTTTCTACAATTAAAAAAATATCAGTCAGTTAATGATAAATAACCTGGTTTTGTAACATAAATGTCTCACTTATGCATCTGATGTGTTTTATAACTTGTGATATGTAAGAATTCTAACATTCTGCTGATCATGATAAAGTTGATGGATTGATTGTTATTGGGGTTAAAGAACTCATGAATTCCATTCTTCAACAGTTTCAAAGGACCACTACTGAATTATCTACTTCTATGAATTCTGTGTTCATCTTCTTGTGCTAATGAGTTATGGTAACTTTAACCGATACACATATGTGTCTGGTCCTACGTTGTAGCTGATTGACTGACTCACTGAAATCGTCTCAGTCGTTGTTTAGTTCTTCTGGGTTTCCAGAAAATGAAATAAACTTCAAAATGTTTGGATATTTAGTTGGGTTTATTTTGTTTTCACATTAAATTTTATCTCTTTCCATTAATAGATGACATATTTTATCAATAACAGTCCCCACTTTTCGTATGAAATCTAGTGATAATCTCGATATTATTAGACTGATGTATTCTGAATGGCATTCAAGTGTCTCCTAGTACTCTTATTATTAATATCGCACTTAACATGACAATGCTTCCTCAATTTAACAAGTAATTTAGTGCCTCCGAATGCCCTAGTACGACCGAGTGTAGGAGAGTCAGCTCTCTGTCTCTCTCGAAATGCTCTCATATGGCCACATGCATACAACTACTGCCAGGAATGTCCTACTCACTGCCTTCTAATGGCATTACTGTTGTTCACAAAATTGGGAGGACGAAAGGCGATTATCCGGCGCTTTAACCGGGTCGCTGGACACGGAAAGTCCACCTAGATGAGTTGGAAAACCCTGATTCCAAAGCAATGGTGCACATGGGCTCCAGTATCCTGAAGGAACAAGTTGCGTATGAACCAATCGTTGGTCATCGGTTACCATCGAATCGCATCTCCTAACGTTGTTGCACCTCCTTGTGGATCAGACTTTTATGTTGAAGGCTTCAGGTGTAGCCCTCTTAAGAAAACCATCTGGTTCGGTTTGGGCACCCGAGCAGTATCCCAGCCCTCACACAAATCGAGTGATTTATGTGGTACATCTATTTGGTGCCTCCTTGTAACAATATTTACGTGTTTAATTAAATAAACAAAATAAAATTTAGTCAGAGTATCCTTTTAAAATAAATCTACACATCAACAGACATTCTTCAGTACAAACATTTATAAAATAATTTTGTTTTATTTTGTAGCGCTGAATCTGTCGAAGTTATTCAACATGATGGCAGTCGTTTTTTATATCCAGTGAGTATTCTATCATAGCTTTAGGTAAACTATTTTATTTTAAATAACTGTGAAATACTTCGTTTCCCCGAAAATCCAACTGCAGTTAGGTAAAGACAAGGTTGTTTTAATGTTACCATTTCAAAATATTTAAGTCCATTGAGTAAAATTTAAATTTAAATAGTTGAGATCATGAGTCAATGGAGGCTAGACGATCACCATGGAAAACGTGAAAGCATTGGACGGCCGTTTCTTTCTATTGTGCGACTCCTCACTAGTGCGCATCCACGACCTCGCCTCACGAGATCCGAACCCAGGACCTATCAGTGTCGCGCGCGAGCGCTTAACCTCTAGACCACTGAGCCGGTTGGCATCCAACGGTGTTAATGTCTAACTTCAAATAATCCACGAAATTGAGCGACACATCCACCATTGTCATCAGTGAATTACTATCTCACAACTGACCCGGTCGAACTTCACTGGTCACTGCTTCTCACTAGAACTCCAGGATATACATCTGGAAGCCAGTCACTAGTGAGCATATGTTGATTAGTACCAGAAGGGATCCTGGTTTCGAATCCCGCAAGGCGGAGTCGTAGATGCGCACTTCTGAGGAGTCCCACAATAGGATGAAGTGACCGTCCAGTGCTTCCACGTTTTCCATGGTGGTCTAGTTTCAATTGACTCATGATCTCAACCATTGAAATTACTACAATTTCCACAAGAACCCCCTTCTAATACTAAAATTTAAATATTGGTCTTTGAGACTAATATTTTTATCTGGTGATTGTCAATGACCCCCTCATTCTTCTACAGATATCTACACGTTTCATACTATGGTCATTATCAGCTTAAAGTATAAGTAAACTTTCTTAGTGTTTTTTTCTTTTACCTCCCCAATTGCTTCAGAATAAAGTACAGTATAATTGACCATAGTGTGAAGCTTATATTCTTGATTATTAACACAACTATTAACTAAATGAATTGATTGTTTGATCTTATGAAAGCAATATGCTTGTATATAAAATATTAAAAATACAGAAAACAGAATCAAATCATAAACATTTGGGGGTTAGTCAGTTTCTAAGTTACTTATTATCTAGTGAATTAAGCTTTGCCTATTATTAGACTTCATTCTATCCCATTACATCATCATGGATCACTTGATTTTCAATGTCATATTATCTCTTCAAAATGCTATACTGTTATTATTATTATTATATTTAGTTCATTTTCATTTTAGCGTCTAGATTATCGTGATGAAGTTGTCAGTATTGATTATATCAATCGTCAATTAGGTACTAATATTTCTGAAACAGAAGTGATCAATTTATTAAATCGTATGGGTTTCACTTGTACAACTGTATCGTCGAATCAATGTAAAGATTCAACTTCAGATATATTAACAACAGGTAATGTTTTATTGAAATAATCGATTGTATAAATTTATCTGATAGAATAGTACTGTTGCCTTAACGTGATAAAAAAAGGTTTTCGACTTAAGATTTTGATTCATGCTGTTGTATAATGTAAATAATCCTATGGTTGATTAAACCAGTCATCATTGTTCCAATGATTGAATTTTTTTACTCTAACGACTCTATTGAATTATATTACCTGGATTCCTTAATCTCTGATGTTCTATCCAACTAGATTGGTCTGTTGGAGAGATGTAAGACCAAGAGCTCTAAAAAAAATACAATCTATGACAGTGAAGTCGTGCTGTAGTGTTTGTAGTGTTGTTATTCATTCGGCTCCATCTATTCAGTATACAGAAACAATATGACCAACGTTTTACGTATCTGGAAATTCCCTAACGACTTTTCGTATTTGTGTAAATATATCCCCTATCGACGTCCCCCCCCCATCAACGATCGAAGTAATCAAGATGGTCATCAGACAAATCAAGATCGGGGAAGCAGAAGGACCTGACAATATACTAGCTGAAACACTGACGCCAGATATAGACATAACTGCAAACATGCTTCACGTTCTAATCAGGAATATTTGGAAGGAGCAACAACTGTCATTGATACACTGGAAAGAAGGATAACTCATCAATATACCAAAGAAAGGAGATCTGAGCAAATGTGAGAACTATGGAGGCATCACATTACTGTCAGTGCTAGGAAAGGTTTCCAACACAGTGTTGATGAACCGTATGAAAGATTAAAAATACGTTTGAACATCAAATCAACGGTACCAGTATTTGAGTTCCTATCAAAGTAAATCTTACACTAATCATTACTTATGGACGAGTACTTAAGTCAGAGAGAACTCCGGGAGTACAATCGAAGGTTTCGAACTTCGTAATCGAAATCGGAAGCAGAATAATGGTCAAGGAATTTACTATGTAGCACAAATACTATAAGTATTTAGTTACAAAACATTTAAACAATATCCGACGAAATGTTACCGATTACAGTATACAAAAACAGTTGAATTTAGTGTAGAAGATATTTGACCAGATGTAGGTGATTGTGTTTTCCCGTTGTAGATATTAAGGATAGAAGTGTGGTATCTATATATCCAGCTAACACGTTTTGGGAGTAGATGCTTCATAATTGAAATGTACTCAGAACATTCCACCATCCTGACGACATTCTGAAGATTAAGTATAAGCTTTAAAACGTCACAGGCCTCAACTTTATCAGATGTTGACCAACTGTGAGTGAGCAGACAGTTTTCGTTTTCTTAACTGTCTGTAGAGTTTTTCCTGTTTCTTCTGACCCATCACCATTTTCCTACTCTTCATCCTTCCAAATAATGTCAATTGAGAACCTCAGCTGTAATATGAGATCAGTGTTCACAGAAGTGGATGGTTCCTAGATCATCATATGGATAGGTGAATCGTACCTTCTGTCATGGTTTATATAAAGTTTACTATATGAATATGTTACAGTGGATATTTCTATCTAGAAATTAGTTGATTTTGATGTGTTCACTATTGTTACAAAAATGTGTTTCATCTTACTCATATTATGTTCTATTAATGTTTGGTGTTATGATACAACAAACAATGTAGTTTGTAATTTATGACACTATCTGAATCACGTAACTAATCGATAAATGAATACTGTTGATTATTTCTAGATATTTATCTTTTACATGCCATTCGACCCCTCTTTAAAACGTACGTGTCAATTTTGAATCGTAATATATAATATTATGGAGAATTTATCTAACTGCTGATAACTGCTTAATAATTGATAATAGTGATAGTAATAATAGTAATAACAATAATAATAGCAATTGTAATAGTTATTATTGTTGATCACCAAAGTAGGTGATGAGTTTCGATGTTTGGGTGTCTACTCGAGTTGACATGACCAACCATGTTACGTCGAAGTCAAACCGCACAGTTAATACATGATTTGGATTAGCCTTTCGTCGTATTCAGATACTGTGGCTACTTTGATGACAGTGTAAAACGAACTTAATGATATTACAGGAACGTATTAGCAAGAATAGGTATAAGAAACAGAGCACAACCACTGTCCCATGAGCCAGTCCATGGTATGCAATGAACTGATGTGTGTTGGCTATGCTAGAACTTGAAGAGGATCTGTAAAATGTTCAACATTCAATCACCCGATTGTTGAATGATTTGACAAGAGTCCAACAACATTTAACTGTCTCCACACTACCACTATTATTTTTGATAGTAGTAGCAGTAGTAGTCAAGTCTTTATAATTCGTATAATCTACACTATTTACTTGTGCTTGTACAACTTTGAAAATCCTGAAAAGAATGAAACTAAATGATCAAGTTGTAATTAAGATAACTAATGAACACTTGATGCCAAAATGTATCAGTATAGTGTGATGTGATGAGTGAATTGTTTTGATAGAAATCTGATCGGTTTTTGATAAATTTAAACAAACATAAAAACAAGCTGATTTGTAGATGGAAGGTGTAAATTGATTCTGTAAATCTTGTTCTTGTTTTGAGTCGTTTTAAAAAGGAGATAAACAAGTTGTTTTTCTATTTTGAAAATAAAAAGAAACGTCACATCCAACTGATGAAATGAAAGAAGAAAACAGAACAAGAGCCAATATGTGTGTGCGTGTGTGTGTTTGTTTTAAAGAAAACAAAGCAAACAACCAAAAAGCTGCTTGTTACTAAGTAAGCAAAACTATCAAGTGGATGTTACTTAATGAAAGTAAAAAAAGACTGGATATCACATTGTATTGTTGAGGAAACTGGTAAAATATGATATTCACTCTACTGAATAACATTAGGATGATGTGGAATTTTTCACGTACATGGTTAGTAGTAGCAGCAGCAGCATCGTTGATGAACAAGGAGGATCGGATACAGATGTAAAGTCGAGGATTGGCAGAGAAAGGCCACATTTCTACAATTGAAGAACATATAATATAGAACTCAAAACAATCATTTAAAATCCAATACTAAAGTGAGAATCTTCAATAGGAACATCAAGACAGTTGTATTGTACGGTGCTAAAACATTTAGAACTACTACAACCATCATCAAGAAGATACAAGTAATTATAAACATTTGTCTACGTAAGATACTGAATGTCCATTGGTTGAATGCCATCAGAACCAGCCTTTTGTGGGAGAGACCAAACCAGCTTGAAGTTGAAGAGGAAATTAGGAAAAGATGTTGGGAGTGGATAGGACATACATAACGTTAATCACCAAACATCATCATAAGGCAAGCCCCACCTTGGAATCCCGAAGGGAAGCGGAAAAGAGGGACACCAAAGAACAAACTACTTCTTCAATTGGAAGCCAGTATGAAAAGGATGAATAGCAACTGAGAAGGTCTACCCAGTACAGATTTGGGTGGAGAATACTGATAATGCATGTCTGAATCTCACTGGTATAAAGCGCTTCCTCAACATTATGAATATTCTTTTAGTAAAACTGGATTGTGAGTAGTTATGAAATTTGGGACTTGCGTTTTGTCCTTTTTGAGATCTGTCATCTGGATTTATTTTCACCCAAGTGTTGATATTCACATTAAGACTCAAAACCAACAGTTTTCATCCCAAACGCAATAAATTATCTACTGAGCTGTGAAGTCCATTTAACAACTAATATGATCAACGGGTAATTAGACATCAGTAAGAATTTGTAATTTTCTGTTTTTGGTATTCAAAACTGCAATTGTTCAATCTCTATTCTCATGTGTATTCTCTGAACTATGTAGCTCAGTGGACAACACTCCGGGTTCAAGTCACAGTTCGTATGTCGACACTAGAATGCAGATACATCCAGCTAGCGAGTCTCAAAAGGGATAAAATGTACATTCTAGTTTCTATGGCTCGTCAAGTACCAACTATGCTAAAACTTGAGACAAAGTTTATACCAATGTAATTCCCTCAGGATACACATATGATAACAGAGACTGATCAATTACAGCCCAGAGTTTCAAACCTTTAAAATAAAAGTGTCACAGATAATTCTTGTAAGTCACTTCTCCCTACGTCAATTAATTTCAAACATCTGGGATTCCCTTTTTCCAAAAAAAGATTCTTATAAATCAATATTTCTAATCTGCTTTCTCTTTTCATTTCGTTTTAGGTCAAAATGCAACTGGTCTAATCTCTGTAAGAATACCACCTACAAGGCATGATATTTTACATGCATGTGATATAGCTGAAGATGTTGGGATTGCATTCGGTTATGATAATATACCTGAATGTTTACCACAAACCTATTGTGTAGCTGGTAATCAACCAATCAGTCGGTTGACAGATCTTATTCGTGCTGAAATAGCTCAAATGGGATTTACTGAAGCATTAAGTTTCTCATTAGTAAGTTGGTATTTCTTCAACCAACAATGAAATTTGTACAATTTATTCAGAATAAAATCAGTGGGTTAGTTTCATAAAATGAAAATACTAATAACTAAGGCTTGACATTATAAATAATGTTTATTAATCTTTTGAATACTGGATCATGAAGACGTCAACGTCTGAAGGGAAGCACGGGATACAATGGACATCTAAGATGCAGTTGGATGATCTAGACTTCGCAGACGATCTGGCCCGTCTATCCCAAACGCAACAACAGATGCAGGAGAACACGAACAGTGTGGCAGCAGCCTCAGCAGCAATAGGTCTCAATATACACAAAGGGAAAAGCAGGATTCTCCGATACAACACAGAATGCACCAATCCAATCACAATTGACGGAGAAGATTTGGAAGATGTAAAAACCTTTACATATTTGGGCAGCATCATTGATGAACACAGTAGATCTGATGCAGATGTGAAAGCGCGGATTGGTAAAGCAAGAGCAGCATATTTACAACTGAGGAACATCTGGAACTCAAAACAACTCTCTGTCAACCAACACCAAGGTCAGGATTTTCAATACAAATGTCAAGACAGTTCTACTGTATGGGGCAGAAACCTGGAGAACTACGAAAGTCATCATCCAGAAAATACAGGTGTTTATTAACAATTGTCTACGCAAAATACTTCAGATCCATTGGCCGGACACTATTAGCAACAACGTACTGTGGGAGAGAACAAACCAGATCCCAGTGGAGGAAGAAATCAGGAAGAAGCGCTGGAAGTGGATAGGACACATATTGAGGAATGCACCCAACTGCGTCACAAGACAAGCCCTCACATGGAATCCTGAAGGTCAGAGGAAAAGAGGAAGACCAAAGAACACATTACGCCGAGAAATGAAGATAGAGATGAGAAAAATGAACAAGAATTGGATGGAACTAGAAAAGAAGGCCCAGGACAGAGTGGGTTGGAGAATGCTGGTCAGCGGCCTATGCTTCATTGGGAGTAACAGGCGTAAATAAGTAAGTAATCTTTTGAATGCCAACTAAACAGAAGTTGTTTAATGAAAAGAGTTTATGAAACTCATATAGATGCTTCTAGTGATGTGTTCCATTCTATGAGGTAGATGACTTTCATTGTTAAATTCTCATTGCTATTTCGATCAACTTCATTAATGTCTGCTTAGAATAAATAACCAGTGAGGATTATAAATTTATTTCTGGTGTGTGACGAAATCTCAGCACGGATACAGAAGGCTCGACTAGCTTTTGCCAACTTGCGTCATTTATGGCGTAGGCGAGATATCCGTCTATCAACCAAAGGACGTGTTTACTGTGCAGCAGTTCGTTCCGTCCTACTTTATGGCAGTGAAACATGGCCGGTAAGAGTAGAGGATATCCGTAGGCTACTAGTATTTGATCATAGGTGTCTTCGAAACATTGCTCGTATATCATGGGACCATCGATTAAGTAACACAGTTGTTAGGAAACGGGTACTAGGTAAGGATGGCAAATCAATTGAAGACGTAGTGAAACTTCATCAGTTGAGATGGCTGGGACACGTGTTACGTATGCCCAACGACCGACTGCCTCGACGTGCTATGTTCAGTGGTATAGGAGTAGGTTGGAAGAAAGGTAGGGGCGGCCAGACCAAAACGTGGCACAAGTCCATGAAGTCACTGACAAGTGAACTGAGTCATGTTGGTAGGTGTAGACTACCTGGTTGGGGACCGCGAGATGATAGCAACCGATGGTTAGAGACCCTGAATGACATGGCTCAAAATCGTTTGCAATGGCGCAGGTGCATCCACTCTCTGTGTTCTCTCAAATTCTAATCTTCTGAATTCTTCATGTCCCTTTTTTCCTCTTTCCAAATTTATTTCACTGTATTATACTCTTTAAATAACATCTCCAAACCCTAATCTTCCCGATTACTGCTTATACTCTGATAAATTTATTTCATAAGTCCCATATCAGTCTACTTCGATAGATTTGTTATCCTCATAAATTAGTATTTTTGCTTGTGTTGGGATTCTTGTTGACTATTTTGTTATGCTGACATTTTTTGATCATACAATTCGTTGAAGTTTTCTGTATAGACTGAAAAATTCAATGTATATTACCATTTCTACTGACAAGTGGAAAGTAGTAGCCTCCACTCTATACTTTCAGAAACGGTCCAGTGTCCTAAGAGTAACCATGCACTGATCATGTCTATAGACTGATATATATATATATATTACGTAACTCTTGTTAATAATGTATTAATTATATCATTTCATCTTGGAATAAATAAATTTCGTTAACAAAGTAAAATTCCACAAATGTTATTGTAATTAAATCGTATACTTATTACATTTTGCACTGATGTCTAATCTTATTGTCTTGTTGTTGTAGTCCTTGTGTCCTATTAATATATAATGTAATGATAACGTCAATTAGAGAACAGTGATTTATCGACTGGATCATTAACGCATAAAACCCGTACGAGCAGTCTAGAGTCTTTATCGGTCCTTCTTCCTGCTGAGACCTGCTTGTTAAGTCTAGAACACCAATCTCAACCTCTGCAATGTGAATCATGTATTTCAAACATACTGAGTTTATATACAAACCAAACAGACTACATCGTACTATAAAATGGAAATAAAAAGTTGTACAGGATCTAGCCGAAAATGGTTGCGAATGTGGGAGACTGTCATTGATAGACTGAGCATAACTCAAGAATGGTAAATCGCATAATAATAGCTTATAGGTCAAAGTAAAGCTTGTAATAAGAGGAGTATAGATATACATAATCTAGCTACTGAATGGTTATACACTAAGAATAAACATATGATATTTGTCCATGAATAGTTCTCGGACGTTATCACTGATAATTCTCTCCGGGATATAATACTTGTATTCCCTACATCTTGACTATAAATTTTAGATGTATTAACCAATGAAAATTGTAATGATATTATTAGCGTTAATGTTTTCTTCCTAAACTTTGATGTATGATGTATGAAATGACTACTTTATTACTAGATCAATATTTATTTCTAATAACCAGATAGCTGTATGTTTTCAGTTTAGTTCAACAAATTTGACATGATTCGGGTTTTAAACATGTAAGTTTCATGCTACTAAGATGGATGGAGTTCAGTGGTCTAATTATAACCTATATCTGTATGCTATGAACATAAAGTGACAGTCAACGTTGTCATCAATAAAAAGCCATTCCATCTAATTACTTGATTGATTCTAGATAGTCATGGCTTTCCACTAGAAATGTATGACAACTGGCTGTGTAAACACTGAGATTGATGAATTTATGAATCATTTTCATAATGGACTGATCAATAGGTGATTGTTATAATAAGGTAGCATTGAACAGCTGTCTCATTCATGTTTGTTCCTCTTCCGCATCTCAACATTTCTCACATATGGTGAAAACTTTGAGCTAACGTCAGTTGTTTTATTCATAGGGTTATATTAAAAGATGATTACTCTACTGATGAGACCGTTAATCCACATAGACCTAAGGTGATTAGGTTAGTTTACAGCTACTAAATGTGGTCATTAAGAGTTGAAGATACTCGAAAGCTACTAGTATTTGACCACAGATGCCTCAGAAATATTGCTCACATCTGCTGGGATCACCGGATAAGTAATAGTGAGGTTAGACGCAGGGTATTAGGGAATGATGGTAAAGCAGTTGATGAGGTTGTGAATCTTCATCGACTGAGATGGTTGGGCCACGTGTTACGTATGCCTGAACACCGATTACCACGACGTGCAATGCTAACCGGCGTTCGGGATGGTTGGAAGAAAGTTAGGTGATGCCGAATTAAAACGTGGCATCAGTCCATAAAGTCACTAACTTCTAGTCTGAGCCATGTTGGTAGATGCAGACTACTTAGTTGGGGTCCGCGTGACTATCGTAACCAATGGTTGGAGACTCTGTGTGACATGGCTCAGAATCGACCACAATGGCGTCGGTGTATACACTCTCTGTCTTCCCTTAAAGTAAGAGATTAGAATCGCTACATATCTTTCTACCTACTAATTCTTTTCTCCTGTAATATATTCTTATATGCAATCTTTCTTTTATATATTACCATCATCATTGAATTAACTACTTCTATGAATCCGGTGTTCATCTTGTTGTGTTAATGAGGTATGGCAACTTGTACCGATGCATATGTGTACCTGGTTCTACGTTGTGACTGACTGACGAGGGTGATTAGGACATTTGTTACTTGTCCCCATCTACTACCTATCCTGACTTAAATAGAATTACATTGGAAAAGTGGTGATGGCTAGACTAAATACATATCGTGACCATCGGACTGAGTTATATTTGGAGATTAAGGCTTCCCAAACAGATATGCATCACACAAGTCACTTGATTTGCGTGTGGGCTGTGATGCTGTCCGGGTGCCAAAATCGAAGCAGGTGGTCTTCTTGGGGGGTCACATCTGGAGCCTTCGACCCAAAGGTCTAGTCCACAAGGCAGCGGAGCAACGTCAAGAGATCCAGTCCCATGGTAGTCGGTGATCAACAATAAGTTCATAAGCCATTTGCCCCTTCAGGATCCTGTAGCCCATATGGAGCATTGGTTTAGAATCAGGGTTTTCCAACTCACCTAGGTAGACTCTCCATGTCCACCATCCGGGTTGATGCGCCGGACATTCGCTTTTCGCCCTCTGAATTTCTTAAACAACAGTAATGCCGCGATAAGGCGTTGAGTAGGACATCCCTGGCAGTAGTTGTATGCACATGGCCATGTGAGAGCATTAGGAGAAGGAGAGCTGACTCTCCCCATTCTCGGCCATATCAGGGCGCGCGTACATGTAAATAATAATAATGAATGCTATACTGTTTTGTTTTTTATTCCGTTGTATTTTAGTGCTCCAGGGAAGATATCAGTACTAAACTGAGGCAAAAATTAGATGATATCCCAGCTGTACACATATCTAATCCTAAAACGCTTGATTTTCAAGTAAGTCATCAATGAATTACCCAAAATATAACATTGCTATTCATTTATTGGTAGAGTCTATCAGCGAACCATTAATTTTATCATAATCTTAGATACGCGTTTGTAACGAATATCGTAGCACATTTAATTACAGAATTCCCCTAACATTTGTCTCCCTAAACATGATTCAATACCTGAATAGTTTATAATTTGGTGAATACAGTGCTATCAACACTAAGTAAAACGACACTTATTATACTACTAAACAATCAATTATGTTATATATCTTATCCATGTAGTTAAGGAATATACTTCTTTATATGTTAGAAATAATGTTATTAATTATAGATGCCGATGCCGTTGTTGCTCTTCTTCATCGATAGAGGGGCTAGTGCAAAGGTTCATGAATCCAAATCACCATACTACATTAGTACAATGTGATAAATTTAACCAGATAAGTGCTAATCCAGTAGAAGTTGTAGTATCAGTAATAGTAAAAAAATAAAAGACTAAAAGGAATGAATTCATGGAATGTTTGTCATGAAATAAAGTTAAAACTCAGATGTTCATATATCACTGCAAGTAATGAATAAGAACTCAGTTGATGGATAACCAACTTATTGTTTAATACAGAATTACAGAATATCTTGGTAAATTATGAGAACCATACATGCTTGTAAATTAAGGCAATATCGAGGCATACGCACAGTATGCACATATGCCAATAAGAGACTGATCAATTTCAGTCCAAAAACATCAATGGGAAGATTCAAATAAAACAATATCAAGTGAATTTAATACTTCAGTTGGAAATCTTCCATCAATTGTCCTTCACATTCTTTATGATTCTTCCAATTCACAATTCATTCCTGTTTTCTTCAACTCGATCTTCTTAGCTTTCTGTTACAAAGCATTCCAGTTCCGACTGATGTTACATACTACCGATATAAGTAATATACACTACAATATAAAATATTAATAAGAGATTTTTATTTGTATTTCGTTCATTAAGTTTAATAGCCTAATTACAAAGCCTTCACTCACATTCGTTAAAACAACGCTTATTCCCAAAATGATAACGAAAACAGAGCAATTAAATAGCCGAGCTCAGAGAACACCATGAAAATCATCTATCTGAGCTACAAATTTTCTCCAATATTGTTAAAATGTAAAATACTTCTTTATCAAGTAATGGAATAATTACTACTGATGACATTAGATTATTATAGTTGCATAGCATCTTAGCTTGATTATATTTAGGAATGTTCATTATTGGATTTTGTCTCAGGTTGTCTAAAAGTATAATGCTCACAATTGATTGATCACTGGGTGGTGATCCATGTCATGCTTGTCTAGTCCTTATTGATCACCACCCAGTGATCAATCCATTGTGATTACATCTCAGTCCTACAGGAGGTTAGTCACGGCTCGGATAGCTCAGTGGTAACGTCTCTGACTGTGAAGCTGGGTGACACGAGATCGAATCCGCCAGGGAGCACCAGTTCCCTCAAGATTACAGGTACACCTTGCTGATGAGTGCCAAGTAGCACGAAACCCGGATCCAGGGTTTCCTGTTGACTACCTCCAACCACCATCTAAATCTCAGTATAATGCTCAATATATCGTATGTTCCGGATTCAACTCTCGTGCTTAGTGTTCATTTATAAGGAGTCTACACACGTAAGATAAAGCGGATATTCAACACCTTTTGATCTTTTCTTTTTACTATCAATTTTTCCATCGAATTAGTCTTCACAAAATCTCATTCTGATTATTAATGTTCAGTGTTATGTACTCCTTAAATTTCGTTGAATAATTTTCTTTTTCATGCATCTTTTCCTCTCCTTTCATGTCCAGGTTGTCAGAACCAGTTTATTACCAGGATTGTTAAATACATTAGCCAGTAATAAAAGTTTACCATTACCTTTGAAATTATTTGAAGTTCAAGACATTGTACTGAAAAATCCATCTAAAGGTAAGAAGATATATATACTACTCATTATTTCTGGCAGTAACCTTAGTTAAAAAAGCATTGGTCAGATGTTTCGTCTCAGAATGAGACTCTTTAACACCGTACAACTACAACCGAGCATATGAATAATCGAACCCGAAACTATTTATTATTGCCTAACTATAGTTAGTTTGTCATATAAACTATAAAATGGAACAGTCTCCACAAACCCTTTGTATTAAATATCAATTAAAGTAGTTGGTTAAGTGTTGAATGATTCACTAAAGTTAAAGTCTATATAGACTATTCTATTTTCAGTTGTATATCTTAATAGTATAATTCTTACTGTAAGATGTTTTGAGTTTGAGCTTGTTTGTTGTATCTTTAGTAGCCCGACATCTGACTCCATTTACATCGTATGATTGTTTGTAATTGATATTGACATATACATATCGTCAATCCTCATATATAATCATCAACTTAAATCGCATTGGTGAATAACAGAATTAAATAAATCGAATACATGAATAGATTTTCGAACACGTATATTTTGTACAGACTGATCTGAACAGGAAATCAGAGGAATGAAGCAAAGAGAACAGAGCAAAGTGAAATGACTCACGGTGGAGAAAACGTGTGAGCCAACTTCCATCTAATCCAGCGTTCATTAACATTTATAGCCAGATGAAAATAATCACTATGGGTTGTGGAGATTATTAAGTTTTTGATTGAGATCATGAACCGATTGATGTTAGACCACCACTGAAAACCTGGAACCACTGGACGACCGTTCAGTCGTATTGTGGGACTCCTCAGCAGTGCGCATCAAGAAAAAAAGCTGTACAAATGCTTTTACATAGAACAAAGATAAAAGAACACCATTTTCAGGAGATATATATATATATATATGCATAGTCACCTTAATGTACTTCTTCATCTATTATGTAGATGTTGGCGCTAGCAATCATCGACGTATTTGTGCAGTTTACTACAATAAAAATTCTGGCTTTGAAATAATCCATGGTTTGTTAGATAGATTAATGCAATTGTTACAAGTTGAATCAATTTTGTCAAAAACAACAAAGAAATCTAATGATCATGAAAAAAAATCAAATTTGAGTTATAGATTGAACGCTACATCCGGTGAGTTTTATTCTACTGATTGGTATCACTGTCAATTGGTTATTCATATATAATAAATGGGTCAAAATCTCGATCGTAGCTGCTACCTTGACGTGATGATCAGGCATGCCTATCGTAAAGACCCAACCGAGCTATATTGGCTGGAACATATCTTCTTGTAGGTTCTACCATGCTAGCCAGGTCGATTGGAGAATGGTAAGACTAAAAGCTGCAACTCAAGGTCTGAGGGCGAAGTCGTACTACTGACTGTAGAACGGTGTGACAGCAGTAAGGTGTTTCTGATAAGTCTTGTTAATTTGAACGCTTTATTCGGCTCCTAAGCGATTCTGGTAACCCGGAAGCTAGAACTACGCAGCGACCTGAACTTGAGAGAAAAGGCGCAAAATAAGCGAAAACACTTTACTCCAAAGGTTCATTTTTGTACAGAAAACATGGGTATTTATAGATGTTAACATTTGTTAAATCAACATCATATTTTGGCCAGTTCGCTAAAAGACACATGCTACTGACCAATGGTAGCAGTTTCCCTCGGGCAACCAGCATAATTTGAAGTGATGTCTCATGACATTGGAATTTCAATTTCCAGTAATAAGATGCAGGTTAAAACCCTATCCCACCTACTTCATCCAGTCAGCTAAACAGCATTATCAACCCTCACAGCGTAGTTACGTGAATCGGTGCTTAATAAATAAATTACACCATACTTGCTATGCATGATTATTAAGTGATGCTAAACCATAATTACGATAGCTACTTAAGATACTGTTAACTGCTTTCGGCCAATGTACCGAAAATTAATGTGTTTGTAGGTATCAGTGCTAAGGTTTGACTTGATAGTTTTAAATAGATTGAGCATTGGGTAGAAGGTCAAACATGTGATGGCGGTTGAAGCGAACGGCACTGTGTTCGAGTCTCAAATAGGACGAAACGCTCGTCCTGGACTCCACTACTAGCTAATATCCATCTTTGCCTATAATGATTGTGAATTAAGGCAATACGCACACTATGCACGTATGCCAATAAGAGACTGATCAATTGCAGTGCTAAAAACCAAGGAAACAATACGAATTGAATTTATTTCGATTACTTATCTACTTTGAAGAAGTGACTTACATTAAGTCACGAAACGTCGGAAATACCACTTTTTACTCATTGGGATTTAAGGAAAAGATATATTTATTATACTGAAAATGTCTACATATTCTAATCATTGTATATTTGACATTTTTATTCTAGATCCAACATACTTTGATGGTCGTTGTGCTGATATTATATTGGAGCCTGACAATAAAATTATTGGACGATTGGGTATTCTCCATCCTGATGTTATACGAAATTTTGAATTGACGATGCCTTGTTCAGCTTTAGATTTAGATCTCGAAGTGTTTCTTTGACTGTTATCTATTTAAACTGACTATGTAAAGAAAAAAATCGTCTTTCCAAAATAAAGGATTTTCTAAGATTTAGTGCTTTGTAAAAACTACTAATTGAAAGAATGTTATCCTTTCAACAAAATTCCATTGACTGCAATAATTTATAAGCCAACTTTCCGAACATTAATATTTCCGACCTATAGAGCGTCTCAGCAACAACAACAACAACACATGCTAAGAATTCAAACACACCTCTAATAATATGAGAATGGTTGTGACTGAATATTAATATTCGCTTTAACAGTAAGCTGTTTAAATAAGTTCACATCACATATCTTTAGGGAACAGCCAGTTTGCGTGAAAAGTTTTACAGTGCAGTTGTTAAATTAGTCATTCTCCTTAGATCTAATCACATAAAGTTTCAAAACTGTCTGGTCAAGTATCATTACGCTGCACAATATTTATTTTACATGTATGAAATCTGTGGGTTGTAGGTATTTGATCATAAGTATGCTTGACACACCACTACTAAAATAAAACACCTGAGTGCGTGACGAATGCTGCACTGTAAACCTTCACTACAACGTATGCTTAGTTGGCACCTATTTATAGTGTGAGTTAATCATGCTTTGAGATTTTTAGATTAACACCTTAATAATAAATGTTCATATGAACGGTACAAGTTCCTCGTAAAGAATCATTGAAATAATTGTTTATTTATTTGAACACATGAATATTGGTACAAGAATGCGCCAATATATATACGCCACACAAAACAATGAGAATTCAAAGAGAAAAAAACGTAAGGAGCGTAAAAAAAGAGAACAATGACGAAGAGATTGGTGTAAGGTAGTGTAGTAATAATGAGGGAACGGAAAGGTACAATCGGAAGAAATCTTTCAGGTAAGGGAGACACAACCACTTTTTACGAAGAAAGTAACAGAAGGTTACAGCAGGATCTCCACTAGCTTCTATTCTAAACCATATCTGATAACGTCTCTAGCCACTGTGTAGCACCATCTCTCAGACCCCAACCAGGGAGTCGTGAAGGACCAACACAAGCCAGTCCTTTGCAGCTTTCTTTCATACCACGACACCATGTCATATACTGACCACCTCTCCACTTTTTCCAACCAGTCCCAGAGTCGGCAAATAATGCACGACGTGGAATTCTCTGGGACGACATTCGTAGAAAATGTCCAAGCCACCGAAGTCGGTGTATCAAGATGGTGACATCGATTGCATTATCATCTCTGTGCCCGAACACACGATGCCGAACCTCTGCATTACTGACATGGTGTTGCCACTGAATGTCAGCAATCCTTCGGAGACAGCGATGATCGAACACAGAGAGTCGTCTAACGTCCTCAACTCGGAGAGGCCAGGTTTCACAAACAAAGAGCAGAACTGCTATCACCGACGCGTTGTAGATCCGACCATTTACAGCCAGACTAACATTACGAAGGCGCCAAAGGTGGCCCAGATTGGCATAAGCCGCTCTGGCTTTCACTATTCCTACATTGATCTCATCACTCACACCACTACCAGCACTCATAGAGCTACCAAGGTACACGAACTTCTCGATTACTTCTATCTGCTCACCATTCAGGGTGAGTACAGGGTTAGAATCCTGCCAGTCTTGTAGAAGTACTTTGCATTTCGAAGGTGCAAAGCACATACCATACCTACGGACACTGATTACCAACTGATGAAGTGCGGATTGCATGCCTTGGGCATTATCGCACAGTAAGACAATATCGTCCGCATACTCAAGGTCGAGAAGTCTTTCTCCAAGCAACAGATCCACACCACCATTACTTACATTCATCAGAGCTGTTTCTAGAATGTCATCGATGGCAAAGTTGGAGAGGAATGGTGAGATTGGGCAACGCTGTCTAACCCCACTGCTCGAATGGAACAATGGAGAGAGGTGGTTGCATGCCCTCACTCTGCCTGAGGTGTTTTTATATAGGGCTTTTAGGATGTTAATAAACTTCTCAGGCACACCCTTCTTCAATAGACAATCCCAGAGAACAGTCCTATCCAACGAATCGAAGGCAGCCCTGATGTCAAGAAACACTACGATTGTTGGCCTTTGATAAGTATGATGGTGTTCTAACATTTGGCGGAGGGTGAAGATATGATCAATACATCTTCGACCAGAACAAAAACCAGCCTGCTCCTTCCGAGTCAATCTTTCTCGGGTTTTGAACAACCTACGAAGTATGATGGAAGCCAATAGCTTGAACGCAATCGGAAGTAGACTTATCCCCCGATAGTTGTTACAGGAACGACGTGAACCCTTTTTAAAGATAGGGACAACTATCGACTCATTCCATGACGTTGGCACACTCTCTAGTTCCCAAACCTTTGTAAACAACGTCGTCAATTCCTTAGTAAGAAAGTCGCCACCATCTTTAAAAAGAGCCGGAGGTAAGTCGTCTGGGCCAGGTGATTTGTAACGCTTCAAGGTTTGGAGGTCCCTGCGAACTTCCGCCTCATTTGGTGGATCAGTCGTCACCGGCCATGGAGGTCAGGACAGTCTGACCGATGTTGCCGGAGCAGCATGCCAGTTGAACTGCCCTTCGAAAAATTCTGCCCACCGTCCAAGGCGTCGATGGATGTTAGTGATTGGCATCCCATCATCCCCGCAGACTGTTTCGCTCACACCAGACTTCTTGCTGCCAATGGCTCGGATGAGTTGGGAGATTCCGGTTGTCACCAGATGCAGTACGCTTCGACCACCAGGCTTCTCGGTCCTTACGCAAGCTTTGCCCGATTTCCTTACGTAATATCCTTCGTTTATGGTCAAACTCACGGTCACCCGGAGTAGACCGACGGGCTTCAATGAATTGTAAGGAACCTGAAGAAACCCAGTGCTTATAAGCGGGTCGTTTCGCGAACCCACAACTGACTGTACCCGTCATTTTCATGGCGTCATGCAATTGCAACCGATGCTCATCTATACTTTTCGGTGGGATGGTAGCTAGCCTAGAAACTACCTCGGTTCGATACTTACTAGCAACAGAATTAATTGTTAAACCAAGGTAGGTGCCTCGATATCAAAGGAAGACGATCTCAATATCCTTGAGTGCTGCTAGAGGTATGACTAGTGTTGGGGATGGTTGAAAAAAAGTTAGGGGCGGCCAAACCAAAACGTAGCATCAGTCTTTGAAGTCACTAACTTCTAGTCTTAGCCATGTTGGTAGATGCAAACTACTTGGTTGGGGACTCTGGGTGACATGGCTCAGAATTGATAAAGCTGACTGATTTTCAGTATCTAAACGCACTATTATAATACACGTCTATTAATACAACTTTAATCGTTCTCTTGATTTCAATTACCAGTTGTAAATAGATCGTTATACTGTAGAAAGTTTGTTGAACAAAAAAGAAGCAAGTATTTATCATGATAGTATAATATTTATTCTTTAATGAGATGTACTCGTTGTTCAACTTTTCGTTTTGAATATACAGCAATCGAAAAATGTACAACTCTTTCTATACACTAAAAAAAAAATCAATTTTCTTAATTTTCAGTTATGATACAATCGTCGTCGTCGTCATCATCATTATCAGTTAAGTTGTCTTCGTCATTATCATCAATGGGACACTGGTCATTTTTAACTTCCTCTAAACCGATCAATCCACAATTATTTTTTTTACCTTTAATATTCTTGACTAATGATGAACGATGTTTCAGCATTTTTTCTATCTCAGATTTAGAATCATGATGTGAATTAGATACATTGACATTATCTACATTAGATTCTTCAATGGTAATATTCTCATCATCGTCATCATCATCAATTTGATGTAGTTTATGTTCTGTAATAATAAATCCTAATTTGTAAAATGTAATTGCTACATTCAACTAGCAAAATAGCAAAAAGAGAAAAGAAAATACACATAAAGTTAATCAACGCTGATACATAAGAGATAACTTTTAATAAAACTGATGAATAAATTGATTCATAATTAAAATATCCAACTCTGACATACTTATGATTTTGAAGTATGTTTTACTACAAATATTCAGTTATTATTCTGACAACCATTACATAATCATTACTTTACATCAGTTTTCCATCAGTACGTACTCACATACATTATGCTTTTTTTTGGGGGGGGGAGGGAACAGTTCGTGATAATTTTGCCTTGATGATTGAAATTCATCATAAGTCAGTCAGTTTAAACTAAAAAAAAAAACAACTTCCGAAATCAACTACAGCCTAAGACTGAGAACAAAATGAATCATTATCTACCATATAAGATATTCTGTAACCAAATACGAATATCCTTTTTTTCTAAGACACAAATATGTTCGTAAAATATCTCGTCTACTTATTTGAATGGTGTGGTCCGAACAGTATTATCAGATCTTAATGGCTGTTTGTTTATAAAGCATCAATGTTAGTCATAAGAAAGTCATCTCCCAGTACATATCATTTCATTGTTGATACGAAACGTATCAAGACAAACGTTTGTACAAGATTTGTTGAATTTGCTTGTATAACAGTGTAGTACACACCATTTACATAATTTTGTTTGACCTCCCAACCTTTACACACTATGGTAATATGTCCATTGAAAGCTTTATCATTAGAACAAAATGAACGAATTTCATTGACACCAACAACCAGTCAGTTGGAAACAACATGATACCTTGAACAGAAGATATGTATTAGTTCAAATTCATATTATAATGAATAATTTATCCCATCGAATAGTTTTATACAGTTAAAGTCAATGCAAATAATTAACTATCCAACCTTAACCTAGCTATGCCTTTGGGATAGTGTAGCTTCACCTCATGAAACAATATAAGGAATCAATCGTAAAAACAGATTACAATATCTTAAGTTGAACACATCTATACCTATATGTATACTTCAAGTGCATAGATTAATTTGATCAGTTTTTGCTGTGTGTGTAATGCATACTTCTGATCTGGAGTCAGACGCGCTACCTTCCACTAGAAACCAAATGAACATAATAAATCCTTACATATATACAATAGAATCTATGCCTATGTGTATGCTAAGGAGTGGATGAATTCCAAACTTGTGTATTTCTGGTGTGCATATAACGTGTATTCTTCAAATAATAGTAGCTTCCATATCCTCATCTTAATAGAAGCTAATCGAAGCACTCGGTGCCGGGGGTTCTATGGTATTCTCCACAGAAAAGATATATCCTACCCCGAATATGTGTGCCTGTATGAATAAATAAAACATTTGTTGAAAAGTGCCAATGAGCTTCCTCCAACCTTTATGAGGGGAACTGTAATCTTGAACAGAAAATACGCATCAATCCACATTTTATAATTATAATGTGTAGAACAATGAATAATTTATTCCAGTAAACACAGTTTTATGTAATTAAGCTCAACGCAGACCAATGATTACCCTTTTATAAATGTTATTTAATATAAAATACCAACAATTACTACTACTAACACTTGTACAAGCAAATTAAACTTACACAATCTGTATGTTTTTCCAATGGCAAACCACTAACAGGGATGAACACAGGATATTTACGAATGAGATGGGTGAGGGCGATAAGAAACTGGGTGAGATCAAATCGGAAAAAAACATATTAAAGATAATATTGAACAGATTAGATGAATTAGTAAACTACTCATGAATTTATCATGTTTATGAAACGTTTATCACGGACTGGTACGACCGAGAATAGCCAGAGTCAGCTCTCTCTGTCTCTATCGAAATGCTCTCATATGGCCATGTGAATACAACTACTGCCAGGGATGTCCTACTCACTGTGTTCGAACGGTACTACTGTTGTTTACGAAATTGCGAGGAAGAAAAGCGATTATCCAGCGCTTTAACCGGGTTGGCGGACACGGAGAGTCTACATAGGTGAGTTGGAAAACCCTGATTCCAAACCAATGCTCCACATGGGCTCCAGGATCCTAGTGAAACAAATGGCGTATGAACCAATTATTGGTCACCGGCTTCCATGGGACTGCATCTCCCAAAGTTGCTGCACCGCTTTGTGGATTAGACCTTTATAACAAACATTACGGGTGTGGCCTCCTGCAAAAAACCACCTGCTTCGGTTTGTGCACACGGGCAGTATCACAGCCCTTACACAAATCGAATGATTTATGTGGCGCATATCTATTTGGTGTATGCCCGGTTGGGGGCAATCTTTATCGTGTGATGTTATCTGATGTATATCGTGGATTAGAAAAGCTTAAATCAAACCATATCATTAATTCATCAAGTTACTGACTTGTGACCCAGTCACTGTGTAGGTGTAGTTCGTCGTTTTTGAGATAATATGTCACACCATTCAAATGAATAACAATAAAGCTAATAAGTTTCTTCTCCAATTAAAATATGCTTCTTACTTACTTTATAGTGTTGTTTTTTTCTTTATAGTTAAGATATGTAGAATTCTAAAAGAATCTTAATTTGATATTGGATAGTTTAACATAATCGATAAACAAGAACCCAGGATCCAGGTTTTGTCTTAACTGGCATTTGTGCCAGTGGGAGTATGTTTCCCTACATAGATTTGCTCATCTCATTTAAGTATAGCCAAGTGTAATGCAGTAGATAATCTTACCAATAAAATGAAACTAGAAAAGTTCGATGTAGATTGGTTGAAAACGTCAAAAATGAACTCGAATTCTTAAAACAGATTATGAGTGGGTTTTTGGCACCGACTATAGGAGTAATAAATTAAAACGAAAAAACTTACTTTCTTGTGAAAACCAATTCCTACATTTGCATTACTATCAGTATTATTGCCTTGATTATTTAAAGAATGATATACCATGAATGAAGGAATCATAGAATGCTGTCTATTGAGAGTATTATCATCAACGACAGTATCAGATTGTTTATTTTCAAAATAAGTCAACATTAATCGAATCGCTGTTGAACGAATCAAACGAATTTTACTATGAATAGTTAATTGATTCGATTTGTCACTTCCGTGTTTGAAAATTGAACGTGTTAGTTCATCTGAAAAATGAATTAGAAGAATTCAACTAACAATAATAACTATCCTCTGACTTTGATAAGATCAACAATTGTTGAAATGCAATCAAAAATGGATGAAAATAGAAATAAGTCAATAGTGGAAATCAGGACTCGTATTTCATCCTGTTCGTGACTCAGTACCTCGATGTACCTACAACCCAATATTGATGTTGTCCACTGACGTAAGGAATCTAGATAGCTACTTATTTGTGAAATGAGTATGGATTTTATTTGAGAGGGTTTGTAATTTTCATTCAGGAATGTAACTGCAGGTACGTTCACTTGAAAAGTTCCGAATGAGACGAAACTTAAGAATTGGATTCTATTACAAGCTACTTGTAACTAAATAGCAACATAGAAGCAATACAATCATTTATTTATTTATTTGAACACATGAATATTGGTACAAGAGAGCGCCAATATATATGCGCTACACAAAACAATGAGAATTTGGATAAAAATAGAAAAAAAAAGAAGAGAACAATAACGAAGAGATTGGTGTAAGGTAGTGTGGTAGTAATGAGGAAACGGAAAGGTACAATCGGAAGAAATCTTTCAGGTAAGGGAGACACAACCAATTTTTATGAAGAAAGTAAAAGAAGATTACAGCAGGATCGCCACTAGCTTCTATTCTAAACCATATCTGATAACGTCTCTAGCCACTGCGTAGCACCATCTCTCAGACCCCAACCAGGGAGTCGTGAAGGACCAACACAAGCCAGTCCTTTGCAGCTTTCTTTCATACCACGACACCATGTCATATACTGACCACCTCTCCACTTTTTCCAACCAGTCCCAGAGTCGGCAAATAATGCACGACGTGGAATTCTCTGGGACGACATTCGGAGAACATGTCCAAGCCACCGAAGTCGGTGTTTCAAGATGGTGACACCAATTGAATTATCATCTCTGTGCCCGAACACACGATGCCGAACCTCTGCATTACTGACATGGTGTTGCCACTGAATGTCAGCAATCCTTCGGAGACAGCGATGATCGAACACAGAGAGTCGTCTAACGTCCTCAACTCGGAGAGGCCAGGTTTCACAAACAAAGAGCAGAACTGCTATCACCGACGCGTTGTAGATCCGACCATTTACAGCCAGACTAACATTACGAAGGCGCCAAAGGTGGCCCAGATTGGCATAAGCCGCTCTGGCTTTCACTATTCGTGCATTGATCTCATCACTCACACCACTACCAGCACTCATACAGCTACCAAGGTACACGAACTTCTCGATTACTTCTATCTGCTCACCATCCAGGGTGAGTACAGGATTAGAATCCTGCCAGTCTTGTAGAAGTACTTTGCACTTCGAAGGTGCAAAGCACATACCATACCTACGGACACTGATGCAATACAATCAGCATGTAATTATACCAATAAAGACTGATAAATCGCACAACAAAAATGGAAACTACAAATCATTACAAACATACATAACTAAATATAACTAAAATATTCTTCAAAAAAAAAAAGAAAACCATTAGCAATACCTTCACTCAACTCGAGTGCACAACTTTCTCTCATTATTTTCAACATCATTTTATCAATTGCCAAATATAAAGGATCAATTGATTGAATAAACAAATTATCATAAGGATTAGGTTGTTGTTGTTGTTGTTGTTGTTTTGTGGAATTAATTTCTTTGCCAGTTGATACTGCATCCATTGTCATTGTTGACAATGAGAAAGGAGCAGAAGAAGATTGATGTTTTTCATGAATCGACTGAGATATAGTTTTTATTCTTCGAATTGGAAATGTTTGACGTTGTTCAATTTTACTAATTAAACGTTTTAACAGTTGAATAGTTTGTACACGAAATTCTTTTTCAAATTCAATTGCCTTTAAGTGAATAGAAATAATTTAGATAATTGGATATTTTGCATGGATGAGTAAACGAATTGATTATTTTCAGAAGGAGTTTTGTGTGGAGACTATAGTCATTTCAATAGTTAAGATCATGAGTCAATTGAAGCTAGACAACCCATGGAAAACCTGGATACATTGGACGGCCGTTCCATCCTATTGTGGGACAATATTTCTATTTGATAATAGTGATGTCTTTTTTTCGTCGTGATTGATTTAGTTTTAGTAAAAGGTTAGATTCCAGTTTAATAGGAGCTTAATTATAGTACTGTTAGGATCTATTTATTTATTTCATTTTAACACGTAGATATTGGTACAAGGAGGCACCAGATATATATGCGCCACACAAATCTCATTTCATATGTGTGAGGGCTGTGATATTGCCCGGGTGTCCGAACCGAAGCAGGTGGTTTTCTTAGGGGGCCACACCCCGAGCCTTCGACCCGAAGGTCTGATCCACAAGGCAGTGGAGCATCGTAAGGAGATGCAGTCCCATGAAAGCCGGTGACCAACAATTGGTTCGTACGCCATTTGTTCCTTCAGGATACTGGAGCCCATGTGCACCATTGATTTGGAATCCGGTTAAAGCGCCGGACATTCGCTTTTTGTCCTCTCAGTTTCGTAAACAACACTCCCACCACGAGAAGGCAGTGAGTAGGACTTCCCTGGTAGAGGCTGTATAAGCGTGGCCATGTGAGAGCATTTCGAGAGGGAGAGCGGACTCTCCCCACTTTCGGCCGTACAAGGGCATTTGGGGGCTGTTAGGATTTTTTAAATCTCAACTTATTTACCGATAAATTTCATGTGATGAACTTAAAGAATGTTTTCGTTATATTAAGAATTTCTAGGAAGAAATTGAAATATTGAATCTTACCGCATCAAATCAATCTGTTGTGAAAGTATAAAGTCAACATCAATTATTAAACACTAATTACCGTATTTTTCTACTGATTCCTTAAGCAAGACAGAACTTGATTTATTTGTTGTTAACAAACATTGAAGTTTAATTTCCTCTTTATTACAGTTTATCAGAAATTTTATTTTACAAATATATTTTAAGAAAAGAGGGTGTACATTGAATGAGCACTACTGAGGAATCCCATACTAGGACGAAACGATCGTCCAGTGCTTTCAAGTATTCCATGGTGGTCTAGCTTCAATTGACTCATGATCACAACTGTTCGAATTGATAATTGGTAAAAAGGTAACAGACTAACTTATTTTTTGTTCACTTCACATGAAATTATTCAACGAAACTGAATGCTAACCACAATTATCGTATGAAGAATAGTAAAACTACATAGTTGTCTACAGTGAAGTAAGTGGGACTGAGTTTGAACTTGTAACGGTGGAAAGCTGAGTACTTCAATCATTAGACTTTTAGGTAGACAACCATACTAAAAATATATCGAGCTATGATGATCGAATTACAAAGTATGTACATTATTATTCTTGATGACGAGCATATAAACGCACCTTAATCTATGAGTGAGCGATAAGCTATATATATGCCTAACCAATTTATATTGGTTCATACTATTGTTTTGTGGTTTTATTCATTTACTAATGCCTCAATTGTTGTTTTGATTTATTCACTTACAACTCCCTTATACAGTGTGGTCTCACAATATCATGGATAGTTGATATGTTAAGCATACCTGACATAAGCTACCTATCATAATCAAATGAAAAATGGAGCTGAATTTAAACCAAAAAAAGATCACAATATTTATGAGATATGAATAGATGATCACTTACATGTTTATTCGCTGAATCTTTATTAAAAAATATTCCAAGATGTTTGAAAGAATTAAGAGGAAGCGGTTTATCAAATTCTGAATCATTTTCCACAGCATTCTTCATCATAATTGGTAACAACTGAAATACAAATTTTTTTTTTAAAAAAAAAGTCAATTTTATATATAAACAGAGGGAACAATCAAATGTAACAATAAACATATACGACAGGATTCAAAGTTATCTAGAATAAATAGCACTCAATCAACAATTCAAGTTAATTAGCATCAAAAGTAAGAAATGTAAATCACTGAATGTTCAACTTAGTGATTAAAGGTGAATGTACTTACTGATTCTATGAAATTTATAGACAATCGTCCAATCTGATATAATGACATTGATTAGCTATACAATTGGTATTTCATTAAATTCTAGTGATTAAGTGTAATGATGAATTTCGCTCAAATGTCCTAATCATTTTATTCACAACTCTTATCATTATTATTGGCTGGTTTGATTGAGTCTAATGTCTTAAAATATATGTAAATTAATACGCCAAAGTAAAGCTTAAGAAAGGTTTAATTGAATAACGATATCACTCTCTTTGATCACTCGTTCTAATAATTTACACAATAGTTCTAATATTCTAGTAAGCGTTTTTTTAGCGAGTTAGTGTTCTACGGGATGAGGACGCTAACCCCATGCCCAATCTTCTTTCTTTACCCGGGCTTGGGACCGGCAGTAACTCTAGAAGAGCTACAGGCGGAGTTAGTTCTAATATTACTATCATATTTTATCAATTACACATAAATACTGGTACATTTCGGAGCCAAAATAGAAAAAGTGAAATTGTGCAGAAATCGGGGAAGAAACAAGAAGTATAATAAACATAAATAAATTAGTGAAAGAGAACAGTTTGTAATAGACATTTCAGTTATGAAAAATATAAGCAGGAAAATTTCATTCAAGAGAGTTCCTCTAACTTTTATAAAGAATGTGAACGAAAACTACAGCAAGACTGCTATTAGCTTCTGTTCTCATCTGATAACGTCTCAAGTCATTGAGTCAATTGCACCGCTCTCAATATCGCTAAACTACAACCCATACCCATTCATCAACAGCCTAAATATGAGGTCAATAATAAGTCTCCAATCATAATAAAACAAAGTTGAGAAGTCCGTAACAAACTCGAAGCGACGAAGAATAGCAGAAAATAACTAGGTGATTCTAGAGACGTCTTAAAGGTGATGATACAATATTAGCAATATGATTAACTAAGAAATCACTAAGACTACCGATTACCACGACGCTCAATCTTTACTGGTGTTGGGAATGGTTCGAAGAAAGTTATGGGCGGCCAAACCAAAACGTAGCATCAGTCTTTGAAGTCATTAACTTCTCGTCTGAGCCAGGTTGGTGGATGCTGACTACTTCATTGGGGTCCACGTGACTATCGTAACCAATGGATGGAGACTCTGTGTAACATGACTCAGAATCGATCACAATGGCACAGGGGTATACATTCTATGTCTTCAAACCGTCAGATTAAAATTGATTTCTACGAAGTGATTCTTTCTTTCTGTATTATATTCTTATACACATTCTACACATTACTACAATTCAAGTAACTGCTTTTATGAACTTCGTGTTCATCTTGTTGTGTTATTGAGGTATGTCAACTTGGACCGATGCATATATGTGCTTAGTCCTACGTTGTAGTTGACTGACTGACTGACTGACTTAAGAAATCACATAGGGTTTGGGAAGCTAAATATAATCACATTTTGCTGATCACCACCACTATATTTTTTAGCAGATAAGGTCGGATATCCTAGCTCTCTAAATATCATCTATGGATGAAATGATTTCTGTTGTGAATTAAAATAAACTGTTGAATTACAGAATCCCATTTACATAATATTTCCACGAATTTGCCAAACGATTTTCAGGTAAAAGTGTTTCCAATCAAGATAAAACAGTGAGCACGCTTAAAACTACTTGATACACATTATTATGTGTCACATAATGTGATTGATTCACCAAGAGCATAATCAAAGTTATAATAAGGTAGAATAGCTAGATGACAATAGATTTAGAACCAGTGATACAATGGTTTTAAAGTTAAATTATTTCAATACTAAAACACCATTACTCCAATGTCATATTATCTATTAAATGAAAATAACAAACTGATTTACTTCAGATAGATAATCGCCCCAATTATATTTTTGATTAAAACTGATGCAAAGATGTAGTGTATGCTTATTATTATTTTTGTTAGTATGTGACATAGTGTAAGCGAATCCTTTAGGAATATAAATTAAATCTCCCGGTTTCAACTTCACCAACATAACGCCTAAATCACAATAAAAGAGATAGAAAAAAATTATTCAGTGAAATAGTAGTTATTAACAGCAACAAGATTATAAAATTGTAATGAAGGTGTATATTGTTAGAAAGAATTAGACTCGATAACGACGTAGATGTCTCTCTAATTATCAACAGTAGCTGCTACCTTGATGTGACCGACAGGTTCGCCTACCGTTGAGATATTTTTCTCATTGGCTCTTACCATCCCAAGGAGATCGGTTGGAGAACAATAAGACTTAGGTTAGTAAACTAGCAGTCCGACGGCAAAGTCTTACCGGCAACTGTACAGAGATGTGACAGCAGTAAGATGTTCTACTCAAGCCGCTAGCATTTACCGTGGTGATGCTCTCACATAATGGGAAAGGGTTGAAGGTCAGCACTAGAGTTAGAAATCCTAACTTAATCGACAGATTTTCGTCGTCCGAGATAAGACCTTTAAGGTACGGAACTAACTCACTTGAAATTACCTGCAAAAGCGTTGTTTGTGATCAGTCTTAAGTGGTTATCCTTCAGATATACCGTTCACTATACCAGGTTTATTTTCAGGTCTCCGAAGGGGAGATATTCTTCTACAGAGTGGGCAATCAAGAAGTGACAAGTCTTCAAACTTCTCATTTGGCTGACTGACTTAGCTCTAAGTTGAAATTAATGTGCAATAATGGGATTACCTGTCGGATCAAATTAAATTGTATCGGATGAGGGTATGAATTTACAACTTAATGGTTGAAAGCCGAGTCAGTGCTTTAACCACACAAACACTGCTCCATGACTAACTCTTACACCAAAAACTATGATTTAACACTGACTATATGAATTTGAACTTTGTTACTGAGTTCAATAAATGTTTATTTTAATTCGAGCATGTACTCTTTGATCATTTTGTTGAATTGCTACATACTTAGTAAACGTTTCATAAAAATGAACTTTTGAACTCTGAGCGCAGAGAACAAAACTCCATCAAAATAAAAATGAACAATATGATGGGAATATCTAGCATTAAACTTTTTAGTCATTTCAAAACTTTGAACTTGAACCACGCCTTCTAAGTATCGTAATTTTATTGGCTGACCCTCAAGATCATATGTTATATTTCCTTATGAGCAAATACTCATATATTTTCTAGTTTCATTATTTCAATTTCTGCTACATAGTTTCAGAGGTTAGCACATAATATTGGAAATCTGGGTTGTTTGATTGTTGTATTCACAAATCAAGTGTTTCATATCAAAAGGGTTTTTGGTCGATTGGAGAACGGTAAGACTAAAAACAGCAACTCAAGGTCTGAGGACGAAGTCGTACTGCTGACTGTAGAGGGGTGTTACAGCAGTAAGGTGTTTCCCTTGGACAACCAGCATCTGCAGCGATGCTGCCTTCCCACAAGGAGGGGTGTGGTTAGAAAAAGTTGACCATAAAAATGTCACACCTCACCTTACCTCACGGATTTCCGTCTCTGGCGGTGGGGCCCTTTGAAGAACGGAGCTAACACATTAAAAACCTTCCCACAAAAAGGTCATGCGCGACCGGCCTTAAGCAGTTGTCCCTCGGGCTCTGCGGTCACGCTCCCAGGTTGTCAAGACCAACACTAATCCAATTTCCTTTTCAGGTTCCCCAAGAAATACCATTCCACGATGTGGGCAGCAGGGAAGTGACATCAGCCCTCATACCCGTAACAGCACACGAGACCAATTCGGTCACATTCAAATCCCTCCTACACCTCCTAATAACTCTTATCTCCCCGACTAACCCTTCTCACGTCCTTTTATCACCTCTCACTGCTAGGGCAAACGATCCGAGTACGCGGAACGCTATTCCTGGTCTCCTGGAACCACGCTCTAAACATCATGTTGGAGCTTATAACGTCCGAACACTGTGCCAAATAGGAAAACAGGCTTCCTTAGCTAGGACTTCAGAATCTCGGGCCATCGATGTATGCTGCGTCTCCGAAACGCGCATACAGGATCCGAGTAGCATCATTTATTTGACTCCACCATGTCAAAACAAAGAACCAACTCGATTCACACTTCGTGTATCTGGAAGCCCAGATGCTGCTTCTCGTGGACATGCTGGCGTAGGTATAGCATTGAGTCCTAGGGCAGAACTAGCTCTCTTAGACTGGATCACAATAGACAGTCGTCTGTGCGCTGTCCAACTAAACGGAACAGTAAGGACTCGGAAAGATAGGGACACTCGTCGTTGCCTCTTCGTCGTCTCTGCCAATTCTCCCACTGACTGCAGCTCAGATGATGTAAAAGATTAGTTTTACAGAAAGCTTTCTGACCTCCGGAAAGCTAGGCGCTCTGATGTAGTAATAGTTGCTGGTTACTTTAATGCTCAAGTAGGTAAACTAAGCGAAAGGGAAAGACACCTAGGTGGATCTTATGGTGTCGTGGCTCAAAGAACAGATAATGCCGACCGTCTGTTGCAGCTATGCTCAGATAACCGCCTGTTCCTGGCAAATACTAACTTTAAGCATAAGGAAAAACATCTTTTAACATGGCGACCCCCTAATTCGTCCCAACTTTGGACCCAAATAGATCACATCGCTATCAGCCACCGATGGAGGGGCTCGATAGAAGACTGTCGCTCATTCTGGAGCACATGCTTAGATTCAGATCATGCTCTAGTGTGAGCGCGTATTTGTCTGCGTCTTACTGGACGTAGGAAAGATGATGCAAGGAAACCTCTTAGGGTCCTGTTTAATGAAAGTCAAGCTAAGAGTATATTTCAGGATCAACTAGGAAAACAGTTAGGCAGCCATGTATGTGATGCCCACCCCGAGGCAGAATGGAATGATATCCGAAAAGCTGTGGAAACAGCAGTGATATCTGTTAGTACGGTAAACCGTAGGGTTAGGGAGCAACACTGGATCTCAGCAGCATCTACCGCACTGAGAGATGCTCGGAAACTCATTCCATCTGACTCTGAACATAATGAAGAGCGAAGTCAGCTTAAGCGCAAGCTGACAAGAAGCCTACGCAATGATCGTGAACAGTGGTGGGTAGCGAAAGCAAGAGAGATGGAAAAGGTAGCGGCAATAGGTAATAGCAGACAATTGTTCAGACTCGTTAAGGAAACCAGTATTAGGAACCCGACTGTTAGCGAAACTATCTCAGAGAAAGATGGACATATTATACATTCTCAATCGAGGAGATTGGATCGATGGGCAGAACACTTTAAGGGATCAGTTCAACTGGCCTTCAGCCACATTTTGGTTTCCCACGATCTCCAGTCAACCTGAATGGCAAGTTAATGTAGGTCCTCCGTCTCTTTACGAAGTTGAAAAAGCCATTGGAAATCTGAAGCGAGGGAGAGCAGCAGGCCCTGACATGTTTACTCCTGAGATTTTAAAGGATGGTGGTTCAGTATTAGCAGTGAGATTAACTGAGGTCTTAGGTAGAATTTAGGAACTGGACGTAATCCCATCTGACTGGTCTCAATCACTGATTGTGCCAGTCTGTAAGGAAGGGCAAAAGTCCTCTTGTGACAATCACAGAGGAATCAGTTTGACAAATAGTGTCTGAAATATTAGCTTCAATAATACTTCGACGCCTAACTAAAGCTCGTGAAGAATAGACTAGAGAAAATCAGGCTGGTTTTCGACCTGGACGTGGTTGTATAGATCAGATATTCACACTACGTCAGGCTCTAGAACATAGACACATATTCAGACGCCCCACAATGGTAGTATTTCTCGACCTTAAAGCAGTATTCGACTCCGTTGATCGTGAGGTTCTATGACAGTGTTTGTCATTGAAAGGAGTGCCAAAGAAGTACATTAACCTTGTAAAGGCTCTCTAATCGAACACAACTGGTCGAGTGAGAGCTTATGGCGAACTGTCATCAGAATTGATTACCTCAAGTGGTGTTCGTCAGGCTGACCACTCTATCCACTCTTGTTTAACTTTGTCATTGACGTACTTTTAGAGATAACACATTCCTCGTCTGAATTTCCAGGGGTTGAACTTCTACCAGGAGGTTCACTTGTTGACTTGGAATATGCCGATGACATAGTTCTATTTGGTGAAGAAGCTGACAAAATGCAGAGTTTTCTGACTACTCTAAGCAACAATGCAAACATGTTCGGGATGCGGTTCTCTTCCTCGAAATGCGGAATGTTGCTTCAGGGTTGGGTTGCATCAACACCCGAACTAATGATAGGGAGTGAAGTAGTTGAGTGTGTCGTCCGCTTCACTTATCTGGGAAGTCTCATCAGCCCTTGTGGTCTGGTGTGTGACGAAATCTCAGCACGGATACAGAAGGCTCGACTAGCTTTTGCCAACTTGCGTCATTTATGGCGATATATCCGTCTATCAACCAAAGGACGTGTTTACTGCGCAGCAGTTAGTCTCGTCCTACTTTATGGCAGCGAAACATGACCGGTAAGAGTAGAGGATATTCGTAGGTTACTAGTATTCGATCATAGGTGTCTTCGAAACATTGCTCGTATATCATGGGACCATCGAGTAAGTAACACAGTTGTTAGGAAACGGGTACTAGGTAAGGATGGTAAATCAATTAATGACGTAGTGAAACTTCATCAGTTGAGATGGCTGGGACACGTGTTACATATGCCCAACTACCGACTGCCTCGACGTGCGATATTTTATGATGTAGGAGAAGGTTGGAAGAAAGCTAGGAGCGGCCAGACCAAAACATGGCACGAATCTATGAAGTCACTGACAGGTAGACTGGGCCATGTTGGTAGGTGTAGACTACGTGGTTGGGGACCGAGAGATGATAGCAACCGATGGTTAGAAACCTTGAATGACGTGGCTCAAAATCGTTTACAATGGCGCAGGTGCATCCACTCCCTGTGTTCTCCCAAATTCTAATCTTCTGAATTCTTCATGTCTCTTTCTTTTTTCTCTTTCCAAATTTATTTCACTGGATTATACTCTTTAAATAACACCTTCAAAACCCTAATTTTTCTGATCACTGCTTATACTCTTATTACCTCTACCACTATGGGATTTGAATCGACAACTGCATCTCTGTGCTAATGTGGTGTGGCAACTCGAACTGATGTACGTACGTACGGAGTTCTACGTTGCTACTGACTGACTGAACAACTGCATTAGTTACTCGATGGTCACAGGATATACGAGCAATATTTCGAAGACACCTATGATCAAATACTGGCTGAACTCCAGTGGTAACGGCTTCTCATTAGAACTCCAGGAAATAACTCTTGAAGCCAGTTGCTAGGGAGCATATGTTGATTCATATCAGAAGGGTTTTTGTGGATATGCCACTCTTAGATGTGAAAAAATATCCACTTGTGCATCATAATTATATAATGGATTTATTTCAGAAATGATAAAGTGGCAATTTGAATAAGCTTATGTAAGAACTAATGTGTTAGGTTGCCTAAGTGAAATTGGCACACATTACTTTTAGTCATGAAACAAATTTCCACTATTCAAATCGGTTGTTATTGTTGTTGTGTTCTTTTATGCTTATATACTAAATTGATTAATAGATACTTCACTTGACACAACTCAAATGACACCATGAATAATCATCATACAGGAGCATACATACACACATATATACTGCTGATTTCTAACGTTCGATTATACAGAATGGGTTGCCCGCAAATGCCCTGGTACGGCCGAGAGTGAGGAGAGTCAGCTCTCCCTCTCCAAATGCCCTCACTTGGCCACGTGCATACAACCACTGCCAGGCATGTCCTACTCGCTGCCTTCTCGTGCCATTACTGTTGTTTACGAAATTGAGAGGACGAAAGGCGAATGTACGGCGCCTTAACCGGGTTGATGGACATGGAGAGTCCACCTAGAGAAGTTAGAAAACCCTGATTCCAAACTAATGGTGTACATGGGCTCCAGTATCATGAGGGAACAAATGGCGTATGAACCAATCGTTGGTCACCGGCTATCATGGGACTGCATCTTCTTACGATGCCCCATTGCCTTGTGGATCAGACCTTCAGGTCAAAGGCTCCGGGTTTTGTCCCCTAAGAAAACCACCTGCTTCGGTTTGGCCAACCAGGCAGTATCACAGCCCTCCCACATATCAAATGAGATTTGATGCCTTCTTGTACCAATACCTATGTGTTAAGAGAAATAAATACAGAATGGATTAAATCATGTTACAATTTCTTTCAAAAACCGAAAACGTACTTTTGTTTTGACCTTTCAAGTTTGTTTTATTACTGCAAAGAAGAAAACAGGAAACATTTTCTCAAAAACTACGTAAACTACACTCAACTTCTTGAGACTTTTCAGACTTATCTGGCTTATGATCCAATCACGCTGAAGTTATGAATAAAACTTAAAAACCTTGTGACCGAACAATGGTGATTCAATGGTTCCATCACTTAATTGCAAACTCGAATCCCACTCAGTCTATATCAGTATCGCTGTTAGTGGTGAGAAATTTCATGAAATCAACTGACGAAACACAGGTCTACATATATCCAACATCCTCATAGAGCATTTGGTAGAGGTGGTGAACCAGTTGATCCGGTAACGAACTGTCATTGATGGAGGTGGTTAGAACATGTGTATGCCTGACATCACCTACTTAGATGAGTGATGCTTGTTGGTAATGAAATAAGTTGTTAGGAAGCAAGGGGCGACCAAACCAATACGTGGCGTCAATTGCTTAAGTCACTGACTGATGGTTTGAGCCACGATAGTAGTTGCAGACTAAACTAATTGGAGTCCGCATGATAGTCGAGATCAATGGTTGAAGACCTAGCTTGAACTCGTTCACAAGAGCCCAGATGCATTCACTCTCTATCTTAAATTTTATTACCCCCCCCCCTATATAAGAAAGGGTCAAAATCATCCTGTGACAACCACAGAGGGATTAGTTTAACTAATATAATATCTAAAATACTAGCCTCGATAATTATCAGACGCCTAACTAAGACTCGTGAACTGCAAACACGAGAAAACCAAGCTGGCTTCAGACCTGGTCGTGGCTGCATCGACCACATATTCACCACTCGTCAGGTTCTAGAACACAGGCATACTTATTGACGTCCGACGATGGTGGTCTTTCTTGACTTAAAAGCAGCATTTGACTCGGTAGACCGCGAGATTCTGTGGCAGTGTCTGTCTTTGAAAGGTGTACCTCAGAAGTACATAAACCTTGTGAAGGCTTTTTGCTCGTTCACTACTAGTCGAGTCAGAGCTTATGGCGAACTGTCATCTACTTTTGCAACCTCAAGTGGTGTCCGTCAAGGCTGTCCACTTTCTTCATTTTTGTTTAACTTCATCATAGACCTATTGATGGAAATAACACTCTCGTAGACTGAATTCTCGGGTATTGATCTCCTACCAGGAGGTCCACTTATCGACTTAGAATACGCAGATGACATAGTCCTGTTTGGTGAAGACGCTGACAAAATGCAGAGTCTTCTGGTAGCACTAAGCAACAATGCCAGGATGTTTGGAATGCGCTTCTCTCCCTCTAAATGCAAGTTGTTGCTTCAGGACTGGTCGGCGTTAACACCTGAACTAAGCAAAGGGAGTGAAGTAGTTGAACGCGTTGTCAACTTCACTTATCTTAGAAGTCTGATAAGCCCTAATGGGTTGGTGTCTGACGAAATCTCAGCACGGATTCGAAAAGCTCGTTTGGCTTTTGCCAACTTACGTCACCTTTGGCGAAGGCGAGATATCCGTCTATCAATAAAAGGACGAGTATACTGCGCGACAGTTCGTTCTGTTTTAATTTACGGCAGCGAAACATGGCCCTTAAGAGTAAAAGACACCCGTAAGCTACTAGTATTTGACCACAGATGCCTTAGAAATATTGCTGGCATCTGCTGGGATCACCAGGTAAGTAATAGTGAGGTTAGACTCAGGGTATTAGGAATGATGGTAAATCAGTTGATGAGGTTATGAATCTTCATCGACTGAGATGGTTGGGCCACGTGTTACGTATGTCTGAACACCGACTACCACGACGTGCAATGCTAACGGGTGTTCGGGATGGTTGGAAGAAAGTTAGGGGCGGCCAAACCAAAACGTGGCATCAGTGCTTGAAGTCACTAACCTCTAGTCTGAGCCATGTTGGTAGATGCAGACTACTTGGTTGGGGTCCGCGTGACTGTCATAACCAATGGTTGGAGACTCTTGGTGACATGGCTCAGAATCGATCACAATCGCGTCGGTGTATACACTCCCTGTCTTCCCTTAAACTAAGAGACTAAAACCACTTCATATCTTTCTTTCTACGAACTAATTCTTTCTTCCTATACTATATCCTTATTGCAACCTTTGACCTAACCACTCCCATGAATCCGGTGTTCATCTTGCTGTGCTAATGAGGTATGGCAACCTGGACCGATGCACATATATGACTGACTGACTGACCCCCCCCTACACACCTTCCCACTATGTCTTTTTAAATAATATTGTTTTATCGTTTCTATTAACTTATTTCGATTTATCTTGTTACTTTCATTTCGTGCTAATCAGGTACTGCAACTTGGGCTAACGAACATTTGTGTCAGATTCTATGTTGATGGTATCTTTCTGTTTGTTGTTTACATCATAATTTCCACTATTACGCCATACTCTTCAGTTTACTGTATCGGTTTGTTTAAAATCATGTCTTACTAATGTTTAATTTGCTCTAACATTACTTCTGCATCCTCCAGTTTCCTGCGCTGTTGTTGATATAAAATGTACTAAGTTGCCCCAGGTCTTACGTTGTTGATAACTAACTGACTGATTCTGATGTCACTATTTATAATGATGGTACAGTGGTTGGTAGGTTTATTAATAAAGTGATCAATCTATTGTAAATTTGAACTCCGCTCCACCTACTTCGAATTAGTTACGAAGTTGTATAGATAAAATTTATTTAATTAATTATGGCTTAAAAATAAGTGCTCACGAGTGACTCATCTACTAATCTTTAACTAACAGTTTTCAACTGAACAAATTACAAATCTCTGATGTAGTTACACCAAATCCAGGCAGAAAGTCACATTTGTTTTATGAATAATGATATTATTTAGGCAAATGAAACTGGTCAAATGAATAAAAGATTAGAAACATTGCTTAATAGTTGAATTTCTGATCATTTACCGATTATAGATTCGTGTTAACACTGCTTGAGGGCCAGTGACACTTGGCAGTTGCGAAGACCACCAACGAGGATGCGGAAGAGCTTAAACATGCAACAATGGTTGCAAGCCAAAGGTGTCACAGAAAAGTCACTATTGAGTTATTTAGTTTGGAAAAATATGGCACGGCAGTGGAATCCACAGCTAACGACATTCCATTTAATTACTTAATATTTTACTATGCTGTATATAATTACGCAAAATTGTTACTTAAAAGGATTGTTTTGGAAAGTAAATAACTAACTTCAATCATACCTTGTAATTTGAAAATTTTGTGAACCTTCTTGCTGCAAAATAAACAAATCGTGGTCCAACTGACTGAAAGATAATTCAGTCGATTTCGACGGTAGCAAGTAAGCAGTGACGGTGAAATTACAACCGAAATACTCTTGCAGAAGACCTACACGAAAGCGGAGACTTCTGGAGAATGTTTGAAGGTTGTGAAAACACAATCCTTTTCCTTGCTATAAAAAACGAACAAAATCTAGTCGATAATCTACTGCAAAATGAATAGTAACAGAAATGTCGCGATGATGGTTTAGTGATTAAAGTGGCAGCACTTCAACTAGTCGATCTATATTCTGGTCCCCGCGGTTGTATATGGTGGATTTTGTAGAGCGATAGCTTCTTAACACTAGTGGATAACGAATTCAAAATACCTTTTGATGAAATATTATTTTCATTCCAATAATCTAGGAACGAATCGAGTCATCTAATCAGAGTTTCTCTACTCTTAAATGCAAAATAGACTAGTTTGATTATGTGAAGTGAAGTAGTGGGAAACCCAAACACTATATTTATATTAGAGGTTTTCTCAGTAAAGATAGACTAGTGACCGACGAAATCGCGACACGGATGCAGAAAGCTTGATTGTCTCACTAACCCGATCAACTTGTGAGTAAAGATATCCATTTGTAACCAAGGAGGGACAGTATGCTGTGCTAAAGTTCCCTGTGCATTACCGTACGGCTGAGAAATATGGCCTAGGAAAGTAGAAGACCTGTAAAGTATCATCATAAGTATCTTCGAGGAATTTTCAGTGTGTAAGCGAACCAACGAGTTAGTAATGTCTGTGTAATGTAGAGAAATATGCGAAAAAGATAAGTCCATTGATGAGGCTAAAAATCTCTATCAGCTTAATGAGTTATGAAATCTATGAGCATGTCTAACCAACCTTTACTTTACGTGAAATGTTTGTTGACACAGAATATGGTTGGAAAAAATCTAAGGTTGGGTAAGTCAAGAAATGGTATCTATCAGTGAAATTAGTGACTCCTAGTCTGAGTCATGTCGAAATATTTTTTTACTTTCTGGCTTAGGCTTATGCAACACTTATAATCAATAATTAAGAGATACTGAATAGCATGGTGCAAAATTGATCACTGTGGCACAGTTGCATTTATTCTCTATTTCGGTCCACATCTTGAGCAATTATTCCTAGCCTTATATTCTTTGATTGGATCCTTTACTATTTAACTTTCCATTGTTACTCCAATGAATCCATCATTCAATTGATTACTTGCTGAGTTGATGGCAACTTTGAACGACTCACACTCATGTCAGGTTGATAATGGCTGACCGCGTGGTCAAAAAAAAATTATTATTAGCAGCTTCACATAAGAAAAGGATATAAAAATATATGTTGAATGTTTTTTTGAAGGAAATTATTAGATATTTCTCCAAGAAAAAATTTTTTAATAATAAAGCTTACAGAATAATGCTCCCATACAGTTCCAGCAAATGCTCGGCCAGATGGGTTAACAATTTCATGTTTCAGAGTTTTGTCTTCGATTAAATCCACATGTTGTCCAAAAAAGAGAAATTCCTTTAAGAAATAAGATAGTTTGATTTCATTTTTTAAATGTTCTTTTCACAGAATATGTATTGTAAATATTATGCAATAATAATAACATTGTACACAGTTTTGTATAATGACTAGTTTAGTTATTTAAACACATAAATCTTGGTACAAAGAAGCACCGAATACATATGCACCACACAAGTCACTTGATTTGTGTGTGGGCTGTGATACTGTTTAAGTGCAAATACCCAAAAACAGGTGGTTTTCTTATGGGGCCACACCCGGAGCCTTCGACATAAAAGTCTGATCTACAATGCAGTGGAGCAACGTCAGGAGATGCAGTCCCATGGTAGCCGGTGACCAACGATTGGTTCATACGCCATTTGTTCCCTCAGGATACTGGAGCCCATGTTCACCATTAGTTTGGAATCAGGGTTTGCTAACCCCCCTAGGTGGACTCTCCGTGTCCACCAACCCGGTTAAAGCGCCGGACATTGGCTTTTCGTCTTCTGACTAGTGATACTAATGTGGAGATAAATCCTATGTTCTAATCCATTAGTTGAAAATTAAGTGTCTTAATCACATAAATCATTACATCTCATTTCTCACATGGAAAATTAAGTTTTAACAGCAAGGAAATTTAAATAGTATTACTTCTAATCTGTCATACACACATATACATTAGGATTCATGAGATCAGTAATTATCCACTTTTTTTATAAAACTACATGTGGATTTGGCCATTTAGATGTACTAATAAGTAGACACATCAATCAACGAAAACAGTTACGATCGAAACTAAAAACTGTACTGAAAGAATATATAGTGTTAGATCTAAATAGCTTTAGAGATTAAGTACCCATTATTTTTTCTCAACAGATTAGACTCTTCAGTGTGACTTCTGGTTAACAAGTTGTTGTGATTAGATTGGGTGTTGATGTGTCAACGACAATTGAAGACAGCGGATTTGAAATGCTGAAATTCCTGTGAAGATAATGAAACTAGATCATGATGAATTTGAACATGTTTCATACTTATGCTTGGGTATGGAGTTTGTTGGTTTTAATTTGAGACCCAATGTTATAAACTGACTGCAATTGAATCAACTAAAAATGAACATCAATCGGTTCACGATCTCAATCAAAAACTTAATAATCTCCACAAACTTTATACTAGTAATAAACATGTGCTCACTAGTGACCAGCTTCGTGAGGGAATTCTCGGAGTTCTAGTGAGAAGCCGTGACCAGCGGAGCTAATCCATGTCAGATAGAGACAGGTATCTACATCAGTACAATGGAAGATGGTCGCGCAATTTGGTGGATTGTTTGTAGTTAGACACTATCACCATTGGATGCCGGCTCAGTGGTCCAGTAGGTTAAGCGTTCGCGTGCGAGACCGAAGGCTCTGAGTTCGAATCCGCGAGCGGGATCGAGGGTGCGCACTGCTGAGGAGTCTTGCAGTAGGACGAAACGGCCGTCCAGTGCTTCCAGGTTTCCAAACGTGGTCTAACATCAATCGGTTCATGATCTCAATCGAAAACTTAATAATCTCCACAACTCCTATACTGGAAAAATGACTGAGTACAAATTTCGCACGATTATCAAGAAACCTCTTATTCACCTTTAATGGCTTCAAATTTTCCAAGTTTTATTTTGTAAAATTGTTTTCTGGTGACTACAGATAAATAATCCGATTTCTGACGGCCTTTAGACGACTGTTCATATGATGAACAGCACCTTAGAAATATATTTCGCGCTAGTTTGAATAGTCAAGATTCGCCAGCGTCAGTATAAATTAATGTGCCTAATCACCTTTTCACCATTATTAGGAAGATATCGTTAACCCATTGAGATGGAATACAAAAAGTTTCACTCTTGATACTATTAACGTCATCGTATGATGTGATAAGGTAAGAATTAAGCTCAGTAGTCGCACTCTGAATTTTATTGAATTGTGAATGACCAACGAAACCCATCTTATCTAATTATCTATTCGTTGACACCCAGAATTCCGTATAAAATAAGCCAATTCTCTAATGGAATAATGCAATAGGATGAGGTCAATTGAAACCAAATGAAATATTAGAACGTACATTTCGAACAATCTGATCTGATCAGAACTATTTTACCATTTGATACTACTTTACTTAGTAATGATCATACTGTATCATAGCATATCAGCATTGTATCTGCTTATAATACCACAAAATTTTGATTCATAATTCTCACTAAAACTTCAAGAATCTTAGGCCTAATCACTATCCAGGACATTGTAAGACAATTACACTATATTTAAAAACTGATTTAATTTAGAAATGTGAACATAGTTAGACTCCAAATAGGTAGTTTATAGATATATCGTAAACATAAAGAGACTTGAAGGACCAGAGGGTCTGGTCTGATGTGAAATAGCGAATACCTATTACAAAAAGGTCACGATCGAAGATGAAACAGTAGCCTCTGGTTTTCATTAGAATTTGATTTGATTTCAGTTTATGACGAAAACTCAACTGCCAACTTTGTTGACAGGAAAAACACCTGATTGGTCCATTTTCAACCAATCAGTGCTAATAGATGAGCTGAAAAGACTGTTGAACGTTCCTCTGTGAAGTTTGTATACACATTGACATTCAGTCATTTGCTATTTTCCTCCATAATATAATTACATTCCTGCCCAAGTTGTATTTGGATTTGGGAACCAGTTAAATGAGTTAAGCGTCGAATCTTATCGACTTAAGATGTTTGACATTAATTAATAAAATACAATAATTCACCATAGTTATTTATAAAGTATGTTACAAAAGTGCAGGATTATTCTGTATTCCTTTGTAATGTAAGCAATCACGTTATAAATTATTGTGTTGTTAGCTTGAAACTAATCATAACAGTATACCTGTTAAAATTGTGAACGTAAAAAAACTGGGACACATAGATAGCTTAGATTAAATTGACGAGATTACAAATAAAGAAGCTTTAGAAGATTATCGAGATCGAAATAATGAAGTAAACTGAAGGAATAAATAAGAAATAAATAAAATGTGAAAAAATAGTTTTCAAGGGCTAAAAGGAAACAATCAGTAGCTGAGATACTCAATTGTCAGCAAGTAGTTTATCAGTCTATATTCCGTTACACACTACCGTTTGAGTTAAACGGTATCATTAGCTTCCAAACAACTGTACGTGCGACTCTAATGTGTGTATCTTCACATAGTCGGTAAACCATTAACGCCGTAGAAAAAGTGGTTATACAATTCGAGAAATATATATGTAAATTATAGATTGCTCACCTTGTCCAACAATTTTTTCACAAAAGAATAATTCAACCATTCACCACATTTTGAACTGGACCGTTTGATATGTAATGGGGTTTTTTGATAATTTACTCTGATTAACATGAACAAAAAAGTACTAGAAATTATCAAACAACTCAGAATATTAATATTATATTATAGCTACTTCAGCAAGTACAGGTTCTAATTACTAACATTTTAGACATACTGTATCGAGTGAGGGATAGTGATACAACCAGGCCGCTTAAACCGAAATACGTGGAGTAAGGTCTGAATCTAAAAGATACTGTTAGAAATTTTAGTGGATTTATACCGCTTCTGTCAGCTACAACGTAGGACCGGGCACATATATGCATCCGTCCAAATTGTCATACCTCATTAGCACAACAAGATGGACACCAAATTCATAGAAGTAGTTACTTAAATCGCAGTAATGTATTAAAAAAATAAGATTACACATAGGGATACGAAACAGGGAGAACGAAATAAAGGTATAAAGCAATTTTAATCTCACGGTTTGAGGACAAAGAATGTATAACCCTACGTCGTTGTGATCGATTCTTAGTCATGTCACCCAGAGTCTCCATCTATTGGTTACGATAGACACGTGGACCCAAACGAAGTAGTCTGCATCTACTAACATGGCTCAGATTGGAAGTTAGTGACTGTATGGATTGATCTCATGTTTTGGTTCTCCCGCCCCTAACTTTCTTTCAACCGCCTCCAACATTAGTTAGCATTGTGAGTCATGGCAATCGGTGGTTGGACATGAGTAATACGTGACCCAACCATCTCAGTCGATGAAGATTCATAACCTCATCAACTGACTTACCACCATTCCCTAATACCCTGAGTCTAACCTCACTACTACTTACCCGGCGATCCCAGCAGATATGAGCAATATTTCTAAGACATCTGTGACCAAATACTAGTAACTTACCGGCATCCTCAACCCTTAATGGCCACATTTCGCAGCCGTAAAGTGAAACAGAACTAACTGCCACGCAGTAAGCTCGTCCCTTAATTGATAGACAGATATCTCGCCTTCGTCATAGGTGACGTAAGTTGGCAAAAGCTAAACGAGCTTTTCGAATCCGTGCTGAGATTTCGTCAGACACCAACCCATTAGGGCTTATCAGACTTCTAAGATAAGTGAAGTTGACAACGCGTTCGACTACTTCACTCCCCTTGCTTAGTTCAGGTGTTGACGTAGGCTAGTCCTGAAGCAACAACTTGCATTTAGAGGGGGGGGGAGAAGCGCATCCCAAACATCCTGCCATTGTTGCCGCGTGCTAATAAAAGACTGGATTTTATAAGCGTCTTCACCAAACAGGACTATATCATCTGTGTATTGTAAGTCGATAAGTGGACCTTCTGGTAGGAGATCAATTCACGAAAATTCAGTCTACGAGAATGTTATTTCCAGCAGTAGGTCTATGATGAAATTAAACAGAAATGGAGATAGTGAACATCCTTGTCGGACACATTAGGTCGCAAAAGCAGATGACAGTTCACCGTAAGCTCTGACTTGACGGTTAGTGAACGAGCAAAAAGCCTTCACAAGGTTTATGTACTTCTGAGGTACACCTTTCAAAGACAGACACCGACACAGAACCTTTGGTTCGAATCACGTAGAGATGTCGCTGCTGTTTCCCAAGCTGTTTGCATATCATTCCAATTAATCAAAAAGAGTATTTGAGTATACACTCAACGAGACTTTTTTCCTACATGTTTCCCATACTCAATCACTATTTATCTTGAAGCTCAGTGCTAGTTGACGTGGAAATGGGTTTAAATAAAGTTGTAGGCGAACAAACCACAACATGCAACCGGTCCATGAAGTCATCAGTTGTTAAGATGTGTGTGGATTAATGCACACCATCTAATTGGGGTCCATGAAATAATCGCGATCGATAGTTAAAGGACTTATGTGACATGGTTCAAAAATCAGTCGGTGGAGTAGGTGTGTTAGTTCTTTAACGTTCACTACATCTTTAGTCTAAATATTATTTTATTGATTGATTTACTGATTTTAAAACAAAATACGTGTTCTTTCTGCTTCGCAATCGAAGATACTATTGCTATTTCAAATCTTCTCCACTATCTCAATTACATTAATATTCATTTCATTAATTTCACATCATTATGTTGATGTGGCGTATGTTGATATGAGTCAATAAACATCTGTGTCAGGTCGTACACTTTTTATGACGAACTGACTGAAATGTTATCCTTAGGCAATCTATCACATTTTATATTTGCTCTAGCAGGAATACCTAATGAAAACAATGTATAAGACAAGTCAAGGGGAGAGATATTATTAGACCATGGTTACAAATCCATCACACTGATATCCCTGCTTATTATTGTTTTTTCTAATAAGTGCCATATTATTTTTTTTCTGAATTCCTATTTTGCCCCACTGAGCATTGCTACCGATTTGGAATTTATTAAAAATGGTACACCGTTGCGTTATTTTCTACAAAGTACAGGAAACAATCGCCTTATGAATAAAATGCTGACCAGTACAAAAATCTATTTAGTGTAATAAAAAAATCGGATGAAATTACTAAACAAACCTGAAAAATTCTTCTAACGCGACGGGCTCCAGTATTTCTTTGAGTAACTGTTCACCTTGTTTCAAAGGATTTAGGCTACTGGTAATCTGTTTCGAAGATACCGACAAAGTATCAGGGCGGAATGAGGCATTCAAAAGATCGTTTTTGGGAGATTGTATACAATCTTTTTCAGCAATCGTATTACTGCCTAATCCCTGTTTAGGATCACACTTTTGTTTTTTTGCATGTAAATTTTGAAATTCCTGATCAGATTCAGAAGTTACATCTGCAGTGTTTAAACTGAATTCAAGATCTTTAGTTTTAGAACAACCAACATCTGTTGCACAAGACCCATCTTTTTCCGAGAATTTACGCTTGCTTCGCCTTCGTTTCTTTCTAGTATTATTTTTTTCGTTTAGTCGATTTGATGTTTTAGAGGTTAAGGGTTTTGAAATTCCATTTACACTGCAAGGGCCATTTAGTGTATCCAATGATCTAATTAATTTTTCAGTCAGTGACATACCTTCTTCTGAGCTTTTAAGTTTGCCCTAAAATAAATACAGGTGAAGTATGGGACTGATGTTCTAAAAAAAAGTTTGAAAACTAATAGCAAAGTTTAACCTATGGATTTTAAAACCCACATACGTGAGATTTCAACTAGAATATTGCATTTTAGCACCCAATCAGTGATTTTTTAAATATTTCAATGATCTCGGCCGTGTTACGCGAGTAGGCACTCAGCTAGTTACAGACCTCTCCGAGTTCTTTCTTAAGAAGCGGTTCACACGTCCAAGCGGTTTCCTTATGACGGAACGCGAAGCGATTACAGATTAGCGACTAGCATTGTGAGTAGCATACTACATGTTAACATGTATTTTCTCTTGGAATAAGAATAATTGCCACCACGGTCACAAGACAATTCAAAACCTACAATCAATTAAACTCAGTATTAGATTAGCCCGATGAATCTAAAATCTACTGCTGAATTAATGAAGGTTTATGGTGCACATATTCATCTAGTACGTTTATCAAATCATACCGAACGTAGATGAAGACTATCAGCAATAATATGGTACTACTGTATTTAGTCAACAATAATGGAGATATCAGGTGGGACCCTACCATACGCATGGGGACTTGAAAAAACAAACACAAACTTAATAGGAATGATATCTGCAATGGTTGACACAGTTATCCCCTACACACTGACCGATCGGAAGGTCAACCCTATTGCTGAACGCCTCACGACTTTGCCCTAGTATGTCCTAAGAAAGCTACTTTTAGTGCATCCGAATTTAATATGAATTTTGAAAAGTCCTTACCTGACTGTTTAGTTTCTCGAAGCGATAAAAATCCCTCGCAGACAGCATTGTAAAAATCTATTAACGTGCTTTAATTTACTGTACCGCGTTGTCGGCGTTTATTTGAAGGCAAGGGAGGTCTAAAAACAACAGCAAACAAACCTGAATCAGTGAATGTCCGAAGAGAAAGAACATGGAGTACCAGCAACTATGTATATATTTCGAAAACTCGGACAACTCCATTGTTATAAAAGGGAAAGCTTATTTACAAAGTAGTCTCATACATCATCCGCAAATCCAGTTTGCATAAGCCTGGTCCTTTTTCTACCAGAACATTTACCCTTTGTTGCCCTGAAATAGGAAAACAGATTCACATGAATCACATTGAACGCAGTAACTTTCAAGTTATACTACCTCGTTCCTCGGTGAGGCACCATCCTCAGTGCTTAGTTGCGCACAAGATATGCTATACCTTCTTCTGATGGTACACCGTAAAGTTGGTGGCGGGCGGGGTTTAGAAAGGGTATTCGTATCTCAATAGGACTTCAGTAATAAGGACAGTAGTTTGGTGAACCTGTTTTAATCCTGACAGACTGCCTTCCAATGCAGGTCCAGCTTTTCTTTGAAAATATTCACTGATTGGGCTAATACCACGTGTTTGCGTAAGGCGTCCCAATCATTGACTACTCGATGAGAGAAACGGGACCCCACTTTAAACGTATTTCATTCCCGAAACGTTAGGTAGCATGTCAGGACCCTGTGGACCCAATGTATTGATGTGCAACAAGCTAAGAGATATTGCAACATCCCAACATCCAGTCAACTACTTACTGACAAACAATAATAAAAGAGCTCTAGTAGTGTGGCAGTTAGCGTCTAACGAGAAAGTACTTTGTGTACTAGAAACACATGCAGAAAAGCGTGAGTGAAGAATGAGGAACAGACGGAACGGTGAGCTCACAACCCATTAGGAGCACACAATGAATTTACATTAATCAAAGAATGTAATCCCAAGCTGCCAACTTTGTGGAAAATTTGGTCCATTTTGGGGAAATGGAACGCAAACCCCAAATTTTCCCCAAACTTTGGGGATTTCCCCAAAGCTGGCAGCTTGGGACGAAAAACGACCAGATGTAACACAAGCCTTAGATTATGACAGTATTGACCAATCTATCAATTTTGGGGAGGATGTCAGCAGCTTCTTAGAAGTCTTAGGAAATCTGCCCTAAAACGTTTGGGGAAATGACACAAAAACCTCGAAATTCCCGTGGGGTTGAAACTACAGGAATAGTCCTAACACGCTACAAGTGATCCTGTTTGTTCTTTCCATCAGGCTATTACCTCCCGGATGGTACGAGGTAGTTTGTTGCCTGAAGTCCAAATATGTGACACGCCTGAGCGATGAGATGACTCTTAATCATTGGTGCACGGTACTTACTTACTTACAAAGTCACCCGCCGTTTCGTTTCCACGACCTTGAAAGGCTTAACAAGAGGCGGTCATTCCATATTTCAGAAGTTACTCGTAATTTATTCTTCACTAGGATATAACACATTCTTCTTCAACTGATGGGCTAGTATCTATAGACCAGTCTGAACTAGCAGCGCACTCCTGTATAACTGATATGTAAGCTCTCCATGCATCTGGGCGAGGCCTAATCTTATCGTATGTCATGTCACTAGCTTTAAACTTAAATGACGAAACAGAATGCTCGCTATTCACTAACGGTGGAAGAATATTTAGCTTGACAATATCCTTAGCCTCATGATCGGTTATCAAGTCCATCGGAGAAGAATCTTGGTTTACACAAAAACGTGTAGGTTTGGATACATGCTGTACTAATGCATACGCGATTACGGTTATCAGGAACCTACTAACAAAGAAGTTCATAGGTCCTACCGTGGACATCACAGTCTAACTAATACTAGGTGCATTAAGGTTTCCTATTATCAAACATCTGTTATTTCACTCCATTTCAAGGAGACGGTAACTAGAAATGAACCCTAACATGAGTGTGGTGGTGCAATTAAATAACTATGGTGATTCGTATCACTACACAACATACGGATTCGTGTCACTCAAAGTAAGAAACTATAAGGATTTAGAAGTCCTTATAAGCGGTGATCGCAAAACTACGCGTAACTGTAAGGCTGCTGCTGCTTCAAAAGGCTATAGGGTGTTACAGTCTATTCGTAGGTCTTTCCGGTATTTGGATGATGAAACGCTTAGTTTATTATACCCGATTTATGCGCGACCTCATTTAGAATATGGGATTCAAGCAGCGAGTCCTTGTTTTAAGTATGAAGCAGAGATGCTGGAAAGGGTTCTGTGACGAGGTACTAAGATGATACTAGGTCTATCTAACCTATCTTATGAAGACAGACTGAGACACCTCAAATTATTTCCGTTATCTTACCGTAGAGTACGAGGTGACCTAAGATTGGCTTATCGTATACTGAACGACGACCTTGGCATTAACATGTCTTATCTTTTACTTCCGTCTAGGACTGATCATTTCAGAGGACATTCAAAGAAAGCTCAAAAACCGAGATCAAACCGTTCACGTCTGGAGTTTCGTTTCACGCACCGAGTATTGAATTACTGGAATTCCCTACCGGAACACGTAATATCAGCACATTCTGTCGAAAAATTTAAAAAGAGATTGGACCTCCGCAGTGTTACAAACTGCAAGGATTAATATAGATCGATGAACCTCCTCTGTTTGTTACTGAAGTCTTCGGTGATCTTCTGATAATAGATAAGTTAAACTATTGCGTAAAGGCTTCTCCTATTACTTCTAGAACAGTCTGAATCACCTGCCATCAGCCAGGACCGCACGTCATCAATCCAGACACAGATCACAATGAATAAACAATGACTTAATTGTCATTGTTAGCCAAGACCTAAAGACTACTGCAGACTGCCGTGCAATAGCCGCCAAAGGTGTAAGGACTTTATGGTCAATACGTAGGGCTTTTATTGCTGTCGACGCTAAAACATTTTTGACCTTGTATACAGCGTTTGTACGTCCTAAACTTGAGCACTGCATACAGGCGGCTATCCCCTGCTCAAATGAGACAGTGAACTTTTGAAAAATGTGCAGTGAACAGCAAATAAGCTGATTCCCGGAATAGCGAAGCTCCAGTATGATGCTCGACTGACCGAGCTAAACCTATTTTCGTTGTCATATTGAAGAACTAAAGACGACTTGATTACAGTTTTAAAATTGCTTAGTGATGAATTTGCATCTGATATGCTCTCATTTTTCTTGTCTTCCAAAACAGAGAATTTACGAGGACACTAATAAAAAGTTCACAAGCCCAGAAAAATTTTTTGTCAGTTGTATATCGACTTTCCCATCGAATCATCAACGACCGGAATTCATTACCTCAGCACGTGGTTGGGGCTCCATCCGTCGACTCTTTCAAAAGAAAGTTGAATCAAAATAGAGACCACCATTGCCAGGACTAACACAGGTAATCAAGCCTCCTGTCCTTTACGGACTGTAAACCGAAACTGAAAACAGCCTGTTACCCGAAGCAGTGTTGTCCGCACTCTCGATTGACTCATTCAAGAGAACACTGGACACTCTTTGAAGCATACTATAAAAGGAAGAACATGGGAGGTAGGCCTTCTGTCCTTACTACACAAATCTGAATATGAAATCTGAATCAGTTGATGAAGACTAGGTTTCTGCATGAAGGTTTCGGTGATTCACTGCTAATAGACACGGAAGTCCGTTGAGCAAAAGCTTCTACTATTCCGTACACAACCATTCAAAAACGCGCACTGACCTCCAAACAACAAGTTATTAAACCTGAACCCATCGTGAAACCTGGTAAATAAGCAACATTTCGTGACAATGCTCTCATTATCATGAACCTCGTTGACAATCCTGACCTTCCTTTCAGTCTGCAGGACAAAAACGACAGGATGCTGTGGGGTGAATTGAGCAAGAAGCTCGAACTTCCTAGAACAGAGCCTTTGACGATCACCCGTCTCACTCGAGGAAAGAATTCTAAGCATCTAAATCACCCGAGGCTTCTCCGAGTAACACTTAAGAATGTTACCGAAGTAGAGGACGTCTTGCTAGCAAGTCACTTGCTGAAATCCGATGGTAACGTAAGGATATTGCCCGACATACCGTACTCTGAGCCCAATATCATACGGAACATCCCTAAAGAATCTCGCGAGAGGTTTTTCCGCGGAAGAAACATAATTGTGCAAGGTATACCGGAAAATGCAGACCCTACTCAATCAAATTCTGACATCAGGGAATGGAAATTCATCAAACAGTCCTTGAGGCTCAAACACATACTGACTCAGCATGTGACGAGACTAGCCAAGAAGGACGGTGATCTTAGACCCCATCCAATGAAGATAACCTTCCCATCTTCCCACATGGCGGCTGCAGTTCTGGAAGCATTTAGTGCCAACAGACGTCGATTGCCACCTGGAATCCACATGCACCCGGATAGGCCATATGAAGCTAGGACCAAACACAAAATCAAGTTGGAGCTGACCATTCCACTTGTGGACTGTCTAAATGATAAAAAAAAACGTGTAAAGGACAGGGCCTACCACCTCGGCAAACCTCATATAGGTGGGCTACCTGTCCATTCACATAAGGCTCATACAGAAAAACAGGACGAAGCTCACGCGTTCAAAATAGAAAGCATAAACTGCTTATATATGAACGCCGCGAGTCTACCAAACAAACTGGATGAATTACGTGAACTTAGCAACTCTAATAAGGCCCATCTGATAGGAATATCTGAAACCTGGATATCTTCTCAGTTCGCGAACCAAGAGTTAGCATTACCTGGAATGACTTTGTTCCGCAACGACAGAAAGGCAGGAATTTGGGGCGGAATAGCCATAGACATAAGCTCTTTCTTGGAGGTGCACCAAGTTCACAACATCGAGTTTAACAATCTTGAGGAATCCATGTGGTGCTCTGTAAGATTGTCTAGTACTTCGAGGTGTTTAGTCGGAGTCATTTACAGGAAGCCAACTGCCGACATCGAGTACGATAGTCGTACTACTGCTCTGCTCGTCTCGGTGTCACT